GTCTGCCTCCAGGCCTCATGAACCCGCTGGCGAGCCGCATGCAACTCCAGGATAGTCTCAAACGGTCCTTGACCTTTCTGAGCAGGGAGCGGACCAGATGATATCGGGCTCGCAGCCTTAGCAACCGAAGTTACAGGGGGCTCACCACTGGCCGCAATGATATCCCTGTGTGGGCCATAGGTAAAATACTGGAAGGCAATACGCGACGTATATGCTACACTCTGTGCTTCATCGTCCGCACTAAGTCGGACTATCCGATGTCCTGCGTGCGCCAGGGCCTCAACAGCCCGATCTAGAGCCCTCTTCACAGGCGGGTGCAGCGGGAAATACTCGTCCTCAGAAAGCACACCGATGGTCAAGCTTTCGCTGGCGTTGATACTAGACGGTATGGTTTGCCAGGGAACCCCGACGGCAGCAGAGTCATACTTCCATGCCTGGCCGTCCGCGACAACTGAACTCATCAGCAGCTTGAGATCGGCGATGTTATGTGCCAGCGGACCTGCGACTGGAATAAGTCCCGGGATCCCCTTCACGGCGCCGGAAACCTGTCCACCGAAGGGGATACGGTCGGTTGTGGGCTTGAAACCGTACACCCCACAGCAGAGCGCAGGGATGCGGATTGAACCAGCGATGTCGGTCCCCACGCCTAGAATCGATCCCCGGAAAGCTACTAGTGCACCCTCGCCGCCGCTGGAACCACCGGCTGTTAGGGTTGTCTTGTGTGGATTGAGGGTACGGCCGAAGATGTTATTCTCCGAGTCTGCTGTCTGGGCGATTGTTAGCCTCATGTTCTGAGAATATTCTGAGCTATTTGGTATTTTTACCATCAGTGTCTGTGGAATATTGGTCTTCACGTATAACACGGCGCCAAGCTCCAGAAGCATCTTCACTAGTGCCGAATTCGTTTTCGCGGGCTCGTTCTCGAGAAATGCGACATATCCTATTGTTGACTGCACGCCCTCGACGCAGAAACTGTCTTTTACACTAATCGGTAGGCCATGCAGGGGACCAACAGGTTTTCCCTGCCGCTGGAGGTACTCATCCAGGTACTTAGCACGCTCCAATGCCTGGGGGAAGAAGGTCTCTGTGAGACACGAGGTCTACCAAAACATATGTTAAGATCATTCCTTTTTTTATTCTCTCGGGGATACATTGTACCTACAACCTGCTGCGCAATAGCAGCCCTCTTACAAAACGCCGTTGTAACAACTGACGAGCTGACCTGCCCTGATGCCAACTTATTCAATAGCTGACTTGCGGTATAATTCTCGGTCAGGTCCAATTCGACCTCGGAGAGCAGACCACTGCGACGAGGAAGATTAATATCCAGTACACGCGGGTTTTCCTGCGCGAGCGCCAGCTGGTCAGCGCTTAGGAGCCAGTCGCGAGGAATCTTCTGCTCGCATTCAGAACGTTTGGCGGCGACTAGGTCTTGCCAGTTGCTGGGGTGTGATTGGGATGCCATTTTGGAGATGGGGTAGATGTGATTTCACGCTTGTGACCATTTCCCTTTCTATGTGATTTTTATATACTTTTCATGCTCGGCATCACGGCATTTACCCACTAGAAGATGTTGCCACCTCCGCCTTTTTCCACTTGATTTGACGCCCCGCTTGGTGTGGTGATGTTCAAGTGTGTGTCGACCTGCCGCTTTGGGATAGCTTGGAGCCGGGAGGAGTCTACGATAGCGCTTGATCGTATCATTTGCATTAGTATTGCTCTTGCGGGGTTCTCTTATCACATATTAGAAAATTACCGCCATAGAGTGAGTATCGGCTATCGTAGACTCTAAATCTCCAACTCTCCAATCGGCAATGTAACCCCTCCATCTGCCGTCGGTTATTCAAACCCCTCTCCAATATCAAATATGTTGATTAGATTTACTTGGTTACAACATCTTTTGACTTGATATCGGGAGCGAATTGTCTAGATAATATACATCGATCTAGATCTCCTCCCCCTCACGGCACATAACACCGAGATACGCTAGCCCATTCTGCCAACCGTGCAGACCAGCGAATGGCGAGGTGGTAGCTGTCGGATGTGCGGACGGTGTAGTGGAAATCTAGAGCCATGGAGTGTGAAATATTGGAATGATAAGCTGCTTGGAATCGTTGACATAAATAAGAAAATGAACCGGGATTCCCCAGATGTGTTCCCTTCGCTACTGTTTGCCTAGGCTGTGCCTCTTGGAGCCAACGTCATAGAATGAGAGCTAGACGATGAGATAGAAAAGGGCTAGTCGGCGTATTCTAAAGATATTCGTGATATTGATTATCTTTATGGCCTCCGGATATGTTCTAAAACTCCCCACAATCTCCAAATCTCAAACGAGAAGGTTGACCCACCGGCGCATTATCTTGAACTCTATCAGATGGGGCATCTGCAAGTGCCCAGGTAGTATCCACGGAAATTAAAACCTTGGTCATTAGCTCATTATCTGAATGCATAAGTGGATTAGTGTTTTATACTCAACCCTGGGAAGTGTCATAGGTACCAAGGTAGGCAGGTCCAGCAGGTCACTTCATATTTGCGATCTGATATTGGCCTGACTACTTCAGCCTCGTCTTTTTATTTTCTTTTTCTTTTCTCTCACACGTATCTTCTGAATCTCGCGTAAGACCCCAAGGTGTCTTGTCACCTAGTGCTCTTGCTATTTGCTACTTATTCTCTACCACCCACCTCTCTTCTTTGACTTCCTTTCACTCAACACAACTTTCTACCTTGTACCGTGGCTCTGACTTTTCAGCAACCATGCCTTTCGCTACAGATATTCTGACTGACCCTTCGATCTCAGCCTCTGCTAGACAGCAAGCTCTCAACCGCATCTACTCTGACCCAGGTCTTCCCCAGAGTTCGACAACCTCGTCGTTCTGGACCCTGGATTCACACAGCTTCAGCCAGGGAGCTGCAAAGCCTCTTCCCAAGGAAGCTGATGTTGTTATCATCGGATCCGGTGTTACTGGAGCATCTATTGCGCGGACTTTGCTTCAGAACCGTGCTGCAGATCCCTCTTCTCCCTTTCATCCATCTGTTGTCATGCTCGAAGCCCGCACTGTTTGTAGCGGCGCAACCGGCCGCAATGGTGGCCACATCCTAGAGACAGCTGATGAGTACAGCGAGTTTGCTGATGCCTTTGGCGTGGACGCCGCACGCAAGCTTATCCGCTTCCGATTAGCCCATCTGCAGGAGATGCTCGCTGTTGCAGAAGAGCTTGGCATCACCACTGAGACACAAGCACGAAAGGTGCAGTTCCTGAGCGTTTACTTCGGTGATGAGCCTTGGAAGGCGGCATTGGAGCGTATGAACCGTTTCAAGGAGGGAATGCCGGAGGAATCTGCTGAATGGACATCTTATGAGGGAGACTCTATCCCGAGGGTACGTTGATATTGTATCCCTAACACCCAAAATTCCGACGCTAAGGTTCATTTTAGGAGTTGTGTTTGACTCGTGCCCGAGGTGTCATTGCCGGCCCTGCAGGCGCCCTGTGGCCCTACAAATTCGTCGTCGGCGTCCTTACTCGTCTCCTTGCCGACTTCCCAGATGACTTCTGCGTCGAAGAAAATACCCCCGTGACCGCTATTCATGACGATACTGCCAGTAATGGCCCAAAATACAAGGTTGAGACAAGCAGAGGCATCATCAACGCTCGACATGTTATCCATTGCACCAATGCCCATGTCAGCCACCTGGTCCCTGGCCTCCGCGGCCGAGTCTTCCCCGTGCGCGGACAGATGTCTGCTCAAACACCCGGCGACAACTTCCCCAACCAAGCAGCGGATCATTCCTGGATTTTTAACTACGACCGCGGATTCGACTACATGACCCAGCTGCCGGAGGGACAGATGATGCTTGGCGGAGGCTTTGCGCAGGGCGAGGCCGGTGGGCTAGCGGATTTGGGCATCTCTACCGATTCTGATCTTAGTCTTTACATTGATATCCACTTGTCTGGGGCTCTGCGTGCCATCTTCGGGGCTAAAGACTGGGGCTGTGTGCAAGGCGAGCCAGTGCAGGCGATGTGGACCGGTAACATGGCGTTCAGCTCCGATGGGTTCCCGTGGGTAGGACAATTGCCAGGGCTTGTGACAGGTCGGTCTGAGCATGGGTCTGAGGGGGCCGAGTGGGTTTGTGCTGCGTTTGGTGGGGAAGGAATGGTTCAGGCTTGGCTTGGTGGTAAGGCGGTGGCAACTATGTTGCTTGCGCGAGATGCTTCGCTGAGTGAGACTGTCAGTGGGGATCTTTCGTGGTTCCCTGAGCAGCTGCTTGTTTCTGAGGGGAGATTTGCTGAGACGGCGTTGCCGAAGGAGGTTGGGGATGACGTGCACAAGGCGAATCTTTAGATTTCCTCTTGGGATTTTGCGCACTAGATTTGCGACTGCTTTTTCGATTTTCCGCTCATCTGACTACGCGGCATTTCTTTTTCTTTGGCCTACCATCTTTGATACTTGAATAAAAGAGAACATTTGTTGTTATGCAGTCTTGCAATCACATTCTTAGTTCTGTTGTCGTGCATATGTTAGGGTTAGGGCTTTTCTCATACGTTGGCTATCTCTTTCAGGTCAGGCTTCCATGTTATCTCGAGGCTGAACGAGGAATATGAAACCTATAACTAGTGACAATTGGTTAAAAGGACGTTCCTTGTACCCTGTATCATGTACCATATCAAGGCACCCCCAAAGCTACTGTATCATCTCGTGCAACCTCGGTAATCTCCTAGAAAAGATATCCAATGCCGCAACGTCATGACCATAATGTCAATAAATGCAGATTATCATTTGGAGTATCCAATGGAAGCTATAATCATCAATAAACTTGATTCAAATAACATACCAGGGGGCATAAGCCAATGTCACCCGACTCTCAAATGGCCCGACCCATATCAACTTAAGTATCTCAACCCAGGCAGCTAGATTCTGTCAACTTCCAGTCGGAAATCCCCATCGCAGGAAGTGAAACATGCAAGATTCAGGTATGACGTAACTATCGAACTCAGCAAGCTGTCAAATAACATGACCACGCTTCACGATATCAAGATACCGATTTGTCAATGCGCGCCGAGCAGACTTTCCCCAAATGACCATTGGGATGGTCATGGCATTAATAGCTAGACTCATAATTCCGCACGCTATAAACATATTTTGGATACCATTGTGCTGGATCCATGGGGTGGTCGCGAATGGAATTGCGATACTGACTGTGTTGCGCATGAACGCCACAACAGTGAAAGCGTCACCGGTGATCTAGAAATGGGCGTTAGTATAAACAAGTCACTCAAAGTAAAAGATGTATCATATAAAGTGTATCATGTATCTCGAAACGAGATAGGTTTGAACGCAACCAATCATACCTCTCTGTAACTGTCCATGACTAGCACCAATGCAGTGTCACTAATACTGCCGAGGCCAAACCCGAAGAAGGCGCCTGCAACGTTAGGCCAGATCCAGTGCATTCCCTATCATCCAGAAATAAGAATGTCAGCACTCGCTCGTCAACAGAGCCTCAGCCTGAATGAAAACTTTGATTGTGAATGTTGTTGACTTACCCTAGAAATCGTTGCACCGAACATAATAAGGCCACCTGCCATGAAGATGGCCGGAAGATGTAAGATGTACAACCGCATTTCGGGCTCGTAATAGCCCCTGTTCCGTTTTGCGTAGTACAAAATGGACCGATCACCGAGGAGCCCACCGTACACTACACCGAGGGTGTTCCCAATCAGGGGACCAGCGTTGGTGTATCCCATTTGTGCAGGTGAGAAGTTGTATGGTGGCCCCGGGAACACGCGCGACAAGACGGAGGAGGTCGCTGTCAGCCAGCCTACTCCAGCTGCGTACTGAAACGCGGCAAATGCCACGGCCGGAAAGATGAGAACGCGGAATGGGCGGTGGAAATGCGGCCAGATTGGTTCTGATGTTGGCGTTACCAGGGCAAGCCGCTTGCGCCATGAGTTCCGCAGTATGGTGATGTCCAGCGCACGGTTGAAACGAGCCGGTTCAATGAGAAAGAGACCATTGGCTGCACCTCCCTAGTTGAATTTGACCAGACCATCTTCTCTAATTTCGATCGCTGGGTCGTCTTCTTCAAGGGTAGCGCCGACTTGCCCAATAAACGCAGGGACGTATTTCGTTTCCTCATACAGGAAGAGGAAGACAATCAAAAGGATGGCATTGAAAATTCCCATAGTCTGATAGGACGAGCGCCAGCCGTACTGTGTGGCTTGCTCCCCTGCAGCCATGGGAACCAAGAAGCTCTGTAGAGTTTCATTAGCTACGCTACATAAATTTCCAACGTGATGGGTTTAGGGGAGATACACCGATCATGACACATGTCAGGTATAGACCATTCATGCTTCCCCGGTGATGCACAAAGAACAAGTCGGCAACCTGTACAACATTAGCAGGCTACCTTGTTATCGGTCCAAGGATATAACTCACGGTTAGCCCAGCTATCGACTCATTGGTTGCACCAGCCAAGCCCTGCAACAAGTTCGTCGCATACAGCTCTGTCAAGCTGGTCATTTTGGATGCCCGAAACGCCGTCGCCAACATCAGTGCCGTTGATACGATATAAACTGGTCGTCGGCCATACTTTTTTCGCAAAGGGAATGAAGATGATGCAGCCAGTTGCGAGTCCAGCGAAATTTACCGATACCGCGTTGTTCAATTCATTGTAGGTGACTTCCATGTCAACAGTCATCTCCTGCCAAAAAATGGGTTGGATATTGATCCTGATATGAATGTTACCAGTCTGTCCCATATAAAATGATTCTTTCCCACTCACGCCGTGAAGATGATTATAGTCATGGCCAAAACAATCGTGAAATTGGCTGCTTTGCGTGTGGTGCTCCAGTTCTATGTATAATTTCTTTAGCCCGTGACTTGAGTAGGATTCGAGGGATAGCTCACTAGAGGCTCATTTGGGTCGGATGAGGGAATCGGATCGAGAACAATAATGTGCTGCCCTTGCTCATCTGCCCCGTCCTCTAGAAGACGACTTGTCAACAACAGCCCAGGTTCAAGATGTAAAAGAAGTCTAACCTCGGATCAATTTGAACGTGCCCGGAGGCTGGTCTGTTTCATTCTCAAAAGAGGTTATAACGTGGAGGTCCGCCATCGAGTGAGTTGATGTATTTGGTGATGAAATTGTGCCTCAGGGATTACAGTGTGTGCTAGTTGATATTGAACTCTCGAAGATGTTGAAGCTCGGGGATGTGGTTGAGGTAAAAAGATGAAGTGATCAGGGTAAGTGAAGATGGAAGGAGTTTGCAAAAGATTGATCTTGACTTGAGAATCTCTTGTATAAACAACCCGCAGGTCATTTTGAAAGTCTTTTAGTGGCTACACATGATAGACCTTTATCCTTTGCCCCCAGTGTTACCGATGCCACCGATACAGGAATCCAGGCAGAGAGATAAGCCATGTGTTCTGTGACCCGGATAGTATCCAGAACTCGCATATCCTTTATAGATACGGAGAGAAAGACCTCTGAGATAGAATGAATTCCGGTTGTCAAAGGGCTGATGGGGGTCAGCTTATCTTCTGATGTTCCCTTCCACCCAGATTATCCGTTGTGTCAGTCTTCCTGATTGGAATAACGTGCGTTTATACTTGGAGGGTATAAAAAGGACCACTTCTCCTAAAATTATATAGAAAGATTGGAAATAGGCATCATATTGATCATAATTGAAATTTTTTTGTAAAGAACTGCCTCCGTACCTTATATATGTATACAATATGTCCCATGCATTAGAGGGAAGAACCTAAAACGTTTCATTATACGATCATATCGAAGGCATATAAACAATGGAACATCCCCTATCACAGGGTCTAGACGACATGAATGCTCTTTATCGTTTAATAATAGCGCGCCAGAAGGTAGAAAGTCCAAAAAGGGTATGCTCAAAACAAGAGCAAAAGGAGAAAATCCGGGGCATCAACCAGCAGATATATAGCTAGTTATACGGCATTTAGAGAGAAAAGTGGCCTTCTAAAAGAATGAACTCCCAGATTTTAGGGCTAGAAAGCTGCGATAACAGTGTTGCATAGATGGAGTTGCCGCGCCGGTTTAAGCCGACGACCCGGACCTAGACTGTATACGGTAGGTAGACGCAATCGCTTCACTAACCTCCTATAGAAGACTATATTCTACTAGACTGTCGTTTATTAGTTCTCTGGGTATTTTTGGACATAAAACTCCGCCAGTACTTTCTAACTTGGGAATAACCATGTATATATATTACTTGCTCTTTGAGTTCTTGTCAATTGCAACCCTCAAAGTTTCCGCAAAATGTCTGCCAAACCGCTAGTCAAGCTTGACCTCTTTCGTGTTCACAAAGGTACGGCTTTTATCTGCTCCTCTCTCTTAAGTAGGCATAGACTACGCTTGTGGAAGTGGCGATCAGCGAAACTGATAAAAGATCAATGGTGCAGAGTATCTTATTCCCGCCATCGGGAAAACGGTTCATCGCGCTTTCTCTTCTGATCCTTTGATCCAGTGGCTAAGGCCAAATGCTGCACCATGGGATGAACAGGATACGGGCAGATGGAGCTGGCAGTATCGTCGTATCCAGCGCATAATGCTCGAAGGCGAGGTATTCAGTTCTGCCAACGTTAAACAAATGGCAGAAGATCATCCTAGAAATGGCAGAAACCAAATATCAACAGACACCCCCACCTCTACTGTTGCTGCATTGCCAGGTAAGGAGTCCGGGACATCTTCGCATGAAGACGACAACGCCGGTGCTGTAGTGTTTCTGTTCCCACCGCCGGGACGAAAACCCTGGTCCCTACCGCGAATTTGGCTTGCGTGCAAGTTGTGGTTATTAAACCTTCTTGCACCAGCACACGAGAGCGGATCGAGAGACAAGGTAAGCAAAGTGCTATCTATGGCCCTGTTTCTATATTGACTCGGCCCTCTTAGCGCGTTGAAATGCTCCTCAACAGACATGAAGCTAGTTTGAAGTTATTGGAAGCAATATACCCTCGACAAAAGCTATGGTACCTTGAGGTTGTTGCTGTGCATCCTTCACTACAATCACGCGGACTGGGTGGGGGCGTGATGAGATGGATCTTGGAACACGTTGCCGACGAGCCCGTATACCTTGAATGTACTCGGAAGGAGAACGTAGGGTTCTACGAGAGCTTTGGGTTTCAAGTTGCTGAAGAGGTTGAACTGGTGGATTATGCGAGTCAGACTGGAGAGCATGTGTTTAAGCACTGGGTCATGGTGCATCCGGGAAGCTCAATGCTGTAGATCCCCAATAACACAAGACAGAGGTGGTCTTAAGCTTCACTACTTTATGTCACCTCTTAAAGCACCTATACGGATGATCCGAGTTTAGCAAGTAGCTTAAATATCCCATAGTCAGATTAACATACAGCCGTGACATCTTTACAATTGTATCCATCCATAAATCATATCAACCCCATCTCCAAACCTTTTTGTCGAGCCAACTCATGCACACTCAGGTTTGGATCTTCCTTCTGCCATAGCTCTTCCAACAGACTAAGAAGTGTTTCACACTGATGAGATCCTAACAAACCCTTCCTAATAGTTTTTTGCCATTCCGGCTTGTGACACAGGATACCGACTTCCGATCCAGCGACAAACATAGGAAACACAATTGCATTCATGATATGAACATCTTCGGTTGGGCGCTCAATTGATGCGAGACGGAGAGCATCAAGGCTAGCCAGGATCCGTGCAACAAGAACGGATGTATCTGCCGGACACTTGGTAGGCTTCCGCCATGCTGAGATATTGTCGGGAATATGAGGAGAAGAGGTTTTAGCTTGTTTTCTGAGGGCCAGAATACCTGCCAGCTGATGCGCCTCCCACAGATAACACTGTAAAAAGTTCCCTGGCTCTCCAGGCCAGTCCCAAAGGTTTTGCTCCGTGGTCTCTGTGCCTATCCCGGCAAGGATATCAAGTAGTGTACGAGGAAGACCGCTGACAGGCTCAATACCATACCTGGGTGCTGCTGGCTGGCAATATCGGCGCCAGATGCCAATCTCTGGAGCCTGGCGACCGACAGAAAAGCAGGCCATGTCCAACACCCCCATCACCTCGAGGAGGTGGATACGAAATTGGGTTGGGGTGGAATGGTGGTGCATATTATCGAGGCCATGGCTCTGCAATATTTTGTGCATACCTTCCAAATGCATAGTCCAGGGCAGGCCGTGCATGAGCTGAGATCAAACCAGTGTCAGAACCTTAAGCCAGAGGATAAGTGAAAAGGAAGTTGAGGTTACACACGCCAATGCTACACAATAGGAGCCCCGAAGTCAAGGTCCCATCGGAAAGGGTCGTGCTGCACGCTAGTTCTTCTCGAAATGTCCTTAATGCGGTGTCGAAGTATTCGCAGAACTGAGAGGTGACTGTGCTCGATAGTGCGAGTTGGAATGCAATGCAGATAGAATACAAGGCGCTGGATTCTTGGCAAAGCTGCGGGAGACGCGGATGAAGCATGGTATCTCTTGCTGTTGTTGAGTGAAGCACGTTAAATCCATTATTCATGACTACTCGATGTCATTATCAGTGTTGCAGCCCACCATACTCAAATGTTTTCATGCTAGTAACTCACATTCATTGAAAAGAGCCTCATCCTCAACTACCCTCTGCGAAACCGCTGGTTCCACCTCCCGACTCGCCTCCGCTACTAGCCAATCAATATCAAATAACCTCATTATTTCGCGAACCACACTAACCGGAATTCCCCTCCAGTTCCATCCTCCTTTTTCTCTCCTTACTAAGATCCCTTTGTCTTCCCCTCTGTCTAAATGGCACAGAAGTCTTGACCGGTTTATCAGCACCAGTAAAGTGACCGCGCGACGCAATCCCCGTACCCCATCTTAGCCGAACCTCGTAGCCCTCGCATGTGGTCCCGCGCTCGACACAGTTTTGGCAAGAAGGGCGCGCGTTGTCACAGCGACGCCGACGTCGTTTACACGTCCAGCAGCCCTGGTGTGAGCGGGTCGACATGCCGGATTTGGGGGTATTGTACTTGGAAGCGTTGGGCGGAAATGTGAACCCACCGTTTAATGCAATGCGGGGGCGTAGATCATGTGGATTCCCGATAGCGCGTCCAACTGCCTATTTAGGATAGCTCGTTTATGAAACCCAGAAACGTTCTAGATGGTCTTTTGATTTGTTTCATAAATCAAATCTGGTTTGAGATGTCAAATTATGACAGGAATATCTCGTCAGACATCGAAGTGTCGTATTAATTGGCCAAGAAGCCGATGATGTTTACTTCGGTGTGGACTTCCATATTGGGACTAGGGTATCTCGGACATTCGGCATATCATCTTCGACTTTCTCCGAATTCCCTTGATTTTTGGTATTGTTGGAGTACATCCACTGTCGATCAACCGGCGCATCAAATAAACATGCTTCTTCAGCAGTGCCACGTGGCGCATGCCGAGGCCTGACAGACAGCCATTGGTCTCCTCCTATATTCAGGGGCAGTTCCATATTTACGCAATCATTGTCCAACATGATCTCCACCGGGGTTAGTCTATAGTCCGCGTAATTATCGATTTTCCATGGAAATATTCTGAATTCTAGGACTACTAGGGCTGAGTCTATGTTCATAGAGTGTATAAAGTTCTGCTGATCGCCTCTTAATTAATTGTACCTCACAGAACAGTCGATCGAGAATATCTTCAAAGTTCCAATGTTGAACTTCCTTCAAATTCTCCTTGCCGCCCCGGCACTCGCCGCGGCGGCCAGTTTCCCAGTTATCCAAAGTAACTATGGACCTGTCAAGGGTGCCGCATCACCTTTCCGAGACGGCGTAACTGTCTACAAGGGCATTCCTTATGCCGCACCTCCGACAGGCTCGAAGCGTTGGACCCCTCCCACCAAGCCCGAGTCATGGACCGAGACACTCCATGCAACTGAGTTCGGTCCCCAGTGTGCACAGCCATACTCCGACGCTGGTATTTTCTCTTCTGGGAAGAACTCAACTAGCGAGGACTGTTTGACCCTGAACATCTGGACCCCTACCTACGATACCACCTCCGCTGCCGAGATTAAGAACAAAAATCTTCCTGTCTACGTCTGGATATTCGGCGGCCGTTTCGAAGGAGGTTCCGGAGATGTCATTACCTACGATGGAACCGGTCTTGCTTCCAAGGATATCATTGTTGTTACTCTGAACTACCGTCTCGGTGCCTTTGGTTTCCTTGCTCACCCCGACCTGTCCACTGAATCTGGACACAATAGCTCTGGAAATTACGGCATCTTGGACCAGCAGTTTGCTCTCCGTTGGGTTCGAGACAACATTGCTCACTTCGGTGGAAATGCCAGCCAGGTTACTGTCGGTGGTCAGTCTGCGGGATCCGCCAGTGCATTGGACATGATGTGGAGTCCTCTCAGCAGCGGTTTGATCCACGGTGTAATTGCCGAGAGCGGTGCTCGTGGACCTCATGATCCTGCCACTGGTAGTGTTGCTACCAGCTACAACACCAAAGATGTTGCTGAGAACTTTGGTGTCACTTTCCTGAAGACTATGAATGTTTCGTCGATTGCTGAGCTCCGTAAGCTCCCTATGGCTGACCTTATCGATGAGGGCCAGTTGATGGAAGACGATTACTTTGACGGTACCGCCTTCTCTGACCTTTGGTCTGGGCCTCCCCGCTGGCGTCCCGTTATTGACGGCTATGTGTTCCGTCACGGATACGGCGAATCTCTGAATCTGGGTGCTCACACCGATGTGCCGATCATGACCGGCAATAACAAGAACGAGAATGATGGAGGCGCTTCCACGGTTTCCGATTATAAGACTCTGTGGACAAAGGTGTTCGGCAACTACTCCTCTGAGTTCTTCTCTCTCTACCCCGCCAAGACAGACACTCAGGCCAGCGATAACAGCGATGCTGTACTGCTCGATATGGCCCGTGTTGGAACTTGGGAGTGGGCCGCCGAATGGGCTGCCGGTGGTGCGAAGAGTGATGTCTTCGTGTACTACTTCACCAAGGCTCCTGCGGAGAATGAGGAGGGCGGAGCATACCACGGTGCTGAGATCTGGTATGCTTTCAACAACATTCCTTACTCGGACTACTCCAATGTCACTTGGAATGCCACCGATTACAAGATTGAATCTGTGATCTCTGAGTACTGGGCGAACTTCATCCGCACGGGCAACCCCAACGGTGACGGCTTGGTCCACTTCCCTCCATCGTCCAGCAACTACTCTGCTATGCACCTCGGCGAATCTTTCGGTGCGGTTCCAATTGCCGCGTCCAAGAAGCGCATCACCTTCCTCCGTCGCTGGATGTCTACTTTACACCAGTACTAAGCAGGGCAAGTTTTACCGTTGTTCTGGTGCTTCTACCACATGAAACAATATTTTCGTCATGTAGTTTAAACTACCCTTGCAAGGGCCTATGTTAATACATCCTATTTTTAACATCTCCACTTTGACGCAATCTTTTAAACAAGCCGTCTCGGCTTTTAGCAATCTATCGATCAAAAGTACTGGCTTAAGGCTCCACTTCGGGGTTTAAACAGATGCTAAACTTATCTTAAAACTAAATATTCAAGTACATTCCGATTATGATGCACATGACGTGAGCTCTAATGGTTTCACGATCCCCCACCCCGAATACGAACCCGATAGCCCCGATGCAGATCTACAACTCCACATTTATGTCCGAAGTCTCGCCCCTACTTTCAAATTTAAAAGGAGGTATCATTGAAGATGTGGGTTGGGCCCAAACCGTAATCATCACTTTGTTATTCTGATTCGGAAACATGGAGGGCAGATCGTTGCTCAGCAGCCGCGTATCATCCCCTGGATGCATTTCCATGTCTCGATATATTAGCAACGTGTGCTATCTGTATAACATTCGAGCTCACAATCTTTTTCTTTAGTTTTCAGTCTTTCGCTTTGATATAGCTTATACATTCTTTTAGACCTACCATGAAGCTGCTTTCCACACTCGCTGGTGTGGCAGCCTGCGGCTCGTCCATCGCCTCTGCCCTAAGTCCCCCAGTTATCGACACTCACTACGGTACAATCCATGGTGGTCTCTCCCCATTCCGCGGAGGTGACAAAGCCTTCGTCTACAAGGGTATTCCCTACGCACAGCCTCCTACAGGTGCAAACCGTTGGACAAAGGTTGCTGGACCATCAAAATGGGGCAAGCTCAACGCGACCGAATTCGGACCACAATGCGCGCAAACAATCAGTGATGCTGGCATCTTCTCCAGTGGCAAGACCACGACTAGTGAGGACTGCCTTTACCTCAATGTCTGGACTCCGGCCTATAAGAACCAGACCAATATGTCCGCTAAGAAACTGCCGGTGCTTTTCTGGATTTATGGAGGACGATTCACCGGTGGTTCTGGTGATGTCAAGACCTACGACGGCACTGGTCTAGCACAGAAAGACATCATCGTAGTGACCATAAATTACCGTCTGGGGCCATTTGGATATCTCGCCCATCCCGAATTGACAGCTGAATCGGGCCACAACAGCTCTGGCAACTACGGCATTCTGGATCAACAAGCCGCTCTGCACTGGGTTAACGAGAACATTCAACTGTTCGGCGGTGACCCTAACCAGATTACTGTCGGAGGGCAATCCGCTGGCTCGGCTAGTGCCCTCGATGTCATGTGGAGTCCGTTAGCCAAAGGCCTCGCAGAAGGTATCATTTCAGAGAGTGGTGCGCGAGGAACACACGATCCTATGACTGGAACTGTTGCCACTAGCTATCGGACCAAGGCAGCCGCTGAAAAGCAGGGAGTTGCTTTCCTCAAGGAAATGAATGTGACATCCATTGCCCAGTTGCGGAATGTGTCTATGGAGGCCCTCCTAGAATATGACTCGCTCTCCGATACCATTTGGGAAGGAACTCCTTTCGCTAATCTCTCGGACACGTTCATGGAGCCACCCATGTGGCGGCCCAACATCGACGGATACGTCTTCACTGACAACTACGCGGAATCCCTGCGCAATAACTCTCATGCCGATATCCCCATTCTTACTGGAAGCAACAAGGACGAGTCCGGTGCCAGCCCAGACCTGTCGTACACTGCTTCCAACTACCACACTCTCTACAGCAACCTCTTTGGCGATCTTTCAGAAGAGTTCTTTGCCCTGTATCCCGGTGCAAATACCACCCAAGCATCGGAAAGCGCCAACGAGTTCTACCGTGACCTCAGCCGTGTCGGTACCTGGCGTTGGGCTGTCGACTGGGCTGCAGGCGGTGCAAAGAGCAACGTCTACACTTACTATTTTACTCACGCTCCTGCCGAAAACCGTGAGAGTGGTGCTTACCACGGCTCCGAGCTCTGGTACACCTTCAATAACATTCCCTACTCTTCGTACTCAAATGTTACGTGGAACACCGCGGACTATGCTGTCGAGAACAAGATGGCTAGCTACTGGGCAAACTTCATTCGCACTGGAAACCCTAATGGCAATGGGCTGCCGCAGTTCAAGCCCACTACCAAAGCTTCTGAGAAGACTATGTGGCTGGGTGATTCGTGGGGAATGGGTCCCCTGACTATGAACAGCAAGCGCATCCAGTTCTTGCAGAAATGGACTGCTAGTCTGCCGGCTTGGTGATTTTCAAATTTTGAATATGGTCTGTGTGACCTATATGGCTAGAAACCTACATTCTTTTTGATATGTATCATAAATTATGGATCACTGTGTGATGTGAATAGAATCACTTGTATACCACTATTTCTTCGTCTAATATTTAGCAATATGGGTCCTTGCGGTAAATCGTTGGCCATATTTGAGCGAGTTATCTCCCTTCAGGCTACGTAGGTAGCTTATGGAATGGGTAGGGAATGCTTCCAAGGTTCTCAGTCTGTCGTCAATAAATACTGTGGGATGGTTTATTACTTTCTTTTATAGAACATCTACGGAGTACACCGAATATATTTAGCCAAACCGAGGCGACCAAAAATGATGAATTTAGGACATTCCCTTGTCTAGGTAATAATGTCGTCCTAAAAACAACATATAACCCATGCACGATATCTATTGCAGTGTACTTTTTTTTACCACAAAACCAAAAACCATATCTGCAGTGAACCACAAACTAAACCCCAGTAAAGCCTAGACCAGAAAAAAAAAATACATAATACAAGGCGGCTAAGACCATCATGATCATGGCGGCACCGCTCGAGCCAGCACACGGATATTATCCACAAAGCCCTTGACGAGGTCCTCGTACTGGTTCTTAGGATCGCCGGACATAGCAAGCTGGCCCTGACGACGGATTTCCTCAGCCGAGACTTCAACTTCAAGCTCGTGGTCGAACTCATTTTTGCCCGGTTGTTGCTGTGATATGTGGTCAGAAGACTATTTTCGAGGGTAACACAGAACATTTGATAAACTTACATCTGATTTGGCTACCTGGGTCAAGTCCACCTGGTAGGCCAAGTGGCTGTAGCTCATGCGATCTTTGATGCGATCGCCTCGTCCGCCCTTTACAACAGCGGCATCTATCACTGGGAGATGGCTGACGTCGCCCGTGTATTCCATTTCCAGATTGACACTAACGCGCCAGTCCACGGTCGTCCGGGGACTGCAGACGTCTACGTCGGCAACTCGACATTTGACGATTTTCGCGATGATTTCACCGGTCCGTTCATCGGTTGTCACCCGGACTTTGGGTTTATGTCTCGGGTTCAGGTTTTGACGAATCACGGGGGGCAAATCAGATGCTTGGATCTCATAGAAGGTGTCGCGTTCTTTCTTGTGCACGTATGCAAGTGGGATTCGGGTCGAGTTGGCTTGAGGCATTGACGCTTTCACAGCCTCATTCAGGAAATTGTTCATGGCTCGGTGTTGTTCCTGTGGATTGTGGTAAGTAAAGTTCATCGGGGTTGAGGCATCCTTGCTAGGATATCGGGGAATCAACTTACCACAGTCATTTTACTCTCGAACGAGGTCCGAATTCGTGTGTTCTCCCGATTGAGGACGCTCTCGGTTAGGATTGGAAGGTGGATTCGATCTCTGCTGTCCATATCGATGATATGGCCCAATTTCGCCTCAATTTCAATGATTGTTCCCTTGCCGGCAGCAGCGGAGCCCGTTGGTCCGGCATTCACGTCATTTCTCATGACCACATGTTGAAACAAGAAATCACAAAGGGTTTTTGTAACCTCCTCGTGTGGAATGAAGCCCGTAATGGATGGCTCCCAAGGGCCTAGCGATCCTACCGTCTGCGAAGTACTCGGCGGACGAAGTGAGGGAGCGGGCAGAGCTGGGGGAGCTTGCACGCGAGGCATACTTGTGCTTGGTGAAGCAACAGCAGGTGCTCGTGTGACCCGTGTGACGGGTGTGACAGCCTTTATCGAGGAAGACCGTCTGCGAGCAGCCAGGGAGGGATACTGTTGACTCTGTCGCGCGTGTTTCGGAACTGGGGGACGGGGATTGGGAATAATCGGCCGTCTGCTTGTGTTGCGGGGTGTCAGCCGAGCATAGATTGGAGGCTCGTTGTATCTCCTCCTCTTTTGCTTGGGCTGTTGTGCATCGACACGCGGTTCGTGGTCGATTTCCATGTCCACGGCGTGGGCGCCTCCACGAGCGCCGGAGGGTGAACTGTTCATTTGACTGCCTGGTGCCAATGGGGAGGTTAGGAAATCCGACCCTGCAACGGTGGGCTTTTGTGCTGTGGGACTCTCAACCAGCACTCGGTCTTCTGAAGAACGAATTTGACCAGCGGTCGCTGACTCGGAGGCCGTGATGATGCTGTTGTGACGGGAGATGGATTTGGGACTGGCGCTCTCGGTTGGCTCTTGCTTTAATCCGCCCGGAGGGAGGTGAGTCGGCTCGGAGGGTTGAGAATTATGCAGAGAAAACTGTTGCTGAGTGACAGGTGACTGTGTTGGAATCTGATCTCGTATTAATGCCTCCTGTTTCGGCCGCGGGCTAGATAGGGGATTGCCGGGGGAATCGTGCCCGGAAGACGGCGGGCGGGCGGTTGACGGCGACTGATGGGTGGTAAAGGCAGGAGGTGGACCTAGGGGAGTACCGGGAACAGATCGATGTGCAGTGGGAGAGAAGTGCTGCGATGGAAGAGGTTGCGATGCAACAGGAGGGCTGCGGTAAGATTCAACTGGAGCTCGGGGTGTTGTCATCACAGACTGAAGTGATTGAGAACGCTGTTGAGAACGCTGCTGGGCGAAATAAGACGGTTGTTCTGGGTGCTGCGGTCCAGCACTCAGCGGCTGTGGTGTGTATGGCGAAACCAGAGGACCGCCGGGGTGTTGTGGATGCGACCCGTATGCCGACGCGCCAAATTGATCACGCGTGCCGGGACCATACGGTGTCGAGATGTGTGGAGGTGTCTGACTGCGCTGAGACCTTGCTGCTGTATTGATCACTGGACCCGAGTTGAATTGTTGGTAAGGCGATTGAACGGATGCGTAAGGTGAGCTTCGCTCTGGGGAAGCGTGCTGTGGGTGTTGCAACGGAGGAGGCTGAGGCGGACGTGTAGGATATTCTGAATAAGAAGCTGCCTTCTTTGGGCGCTTTTGGGGGGTTTGATCGGATATGGGAGAACTGGCCGAGTTGCTTGGAGGTGGAGGATTGGAGGCGCCGCCGTCGGTGTTCATGATCGTGCGCAAATCCATCGTGACTGCACCCACTTCGGGACCACTTCGACCACGCGAGCACTTTTATCAAGAAATGCACGCGACAGGCGATCGCGACATACAGATCGTATCGCAAGATGCCGGGGAGCAGAAAGAAGGCGGCGGGACAATGAGCGTGGATGGACAAAGAGGAAGGGAGAAGTTCTCGAACTGCGGAATTGCGCGAATCAGGGAGCTGAGAGGATCGTCGCCGCTTTAGGGAATCAGCGACATCAAGGTCCAATGGTCTATATTGTTTGTCAATCTGTATCAGTCACAGAGATGTCTAAGTTCTACGTTGGGAGCTTTGGAGCTCAAAAATGTCCAGCGAAGCTCCCGTAGAAAACGGAGCTCTTGGAAGTATGATGTATTCGGAGAGCTTGGTAGAACGAGCTATGAAAAATATCTATTATCTTTTGGAAATCATCCAATCCATACAAGTATCTAACAGTCTTTGACATAATATATGTGTTTTCAACCTCTTGAGTCCTCTGCGATGGTAAAAAGGCCACGGTTGTGATCTCGAGATGTCTTGGCATCAACACCTGAGGCATTAAATCATACGCTAAGCCGTTTTTGGAACTATACACTGTCCTTCCATCAACCTACAACCTCAAGTTATATATGAATATATATATGTAGGAAAGACATATCTCGGTGTAATCTAAGTATAATAGTATTTAGTAACTCCACAGCTTTATTGCTTCTATTAGACTCTTATATACCGAACTCCTTCGCACCTCGGCATCCCATCTTCTTAATTCTTGTTTACCTCCAGGGTTATACCTACCCTTGTTTGTCAAAGGCCTCCTTTCTTAGGCCTCTATGAGATATATATAGTTTTTAAATGTTTTGCCTCTAAATTAATCCATCTTCCTTTCTCTCTCCTTCTCTCTGGGACATCCCTGTAGATGTCCTAGAAGTCCCTCTTCAGCCATCCCCCTATTACCACTGCTATGGCACCAAATTCATCAAGCAAACCCCGGGATAGGAGTTTTACCTCACTATATACAAGATTTTAGCAGTCTAACAGATTCATATAGCCAAAAGTGCCCTAGGTTGAGCAACGAGTCCTCACCTAAGGACCCGAAGCACAACGCGTTAGTTACTTTCTTTTCGCTTAGCAGAGAATTGCAATAGTTGAAAGATATTTCATAGTCAGATATAATCTTAGCATTCTAGTTGAAACGGTGATAGTATTTTGAAGATTCACAAAAGAGCTTGAGACCGAAATTAAATCTAGACCTCATGCTCCCTCTGGAGTTAGGAGAACTATATTTCAACATGATAGTTGATAAATCAATATGTTGAATAGATGGAATAAACCGTTGGGACCCGAATGCATTATCCTCTCTTTGTATGATCCTGGATTAGCAATAACATCGAAAAATGAAATTTACGAGCTCTGCTGGTCCCACTGAACTTCCCAAATCGTCGTCGCGATTTCCTCCAGTTGCTGTTGTGAGATCTCGAGATCTTTCTCCCTTGGGAAAGTTGGCTGGTAACGGAACAGACTTTCAAAGGGGATAAGAAGAGGATGGTCGGTGACTTTGATTTGGCCCCCTTGTTTAGTAACCCAGATGACCTGGGAGCGATGGGCTCTGTCGTCTTGTCTTTCCCACTTTTCGATCCGGATTTGTGGCCGGGACCTATCGATCCGCAGTGTCAAGGAGATTTTCGCATTGCCGTGATCAGTGTTCAACCAAAACCGGACATCAGTGTTCAATTTCGAGTCCGATTCTGAGTACGCAATTTCGAGAGTAACAGACGGGTTGCGGGGTTGACCAGGCACTTTTCTTCTGGGTCCCCAGCCATAATCTGGTTGTTTTCCTCGATCCTCCCCTTCGATATTTGCACCCGGATATCCGTGGAGAGCAGTCATCAACCCCATTGGTACCAGGGTCTGGCGAATCATAGTGTTCACAACATCCGCTGCTACAGAGTGTGGCTCAGAAGGCATGGTGACCAGGAGGAGTTGTTCTTTTTTATCGAATGAAGTGCTAAGCTTTGAGATAGAAGGGTCTTCGTCTTCGTTCCGAAGATCGAAAATGTTTTCGATGGTCTCTCTACTGACGTGAAAGAGGAGGAATTCGCTTGATTTAATCGAGGATTTGAAGTGAGCGGATTCAGTTTTAAGAATATCAAAGAATTGCGACTTTCCATGGTATGTATATCTCTTAATCAAAGGGGGCAGGTCCTGAAGGAAGCTGCCATCGAGACTAAGGTCGTAGCTGCCTTGCTTTTCCACCATCTTGGTGATACTGAGACCGGGAAAAAGAAAATACAACAGGCAGATCTTCAGACGTAGGCCTGTTTCAAAAGACGAAGATGGTTCAATCGTATCACAAGAAGCAGACAAACACACTGATAAGGGGAGTAATGAACTGGAGGAAGGATAATTAGGCTATAATTTATCTGTTAACTTATACTACTCGGCTATCCCTCGGAGCTTAGTTACTTCATGATGACACTTTTAGTCCACCGGCAGCAACGAGTCTCCTCGCTCGTCTTTAGAGCCTAACTCCCCTCCTGGTTGGAACCGCGAAGTTGCTGTTTCAAAAAGTAGGTTAAGTTATTATATATTTCTTTTGGTGGTTCTCAGACCTCTTCCTGCAGTTTCATTCTAATGTTTTCAACAGCCCACCCTACACTTGATACTGCAGGGAATCCAATGCTCAATCTTTGCAACACTTCTGTACAAATTGCAACGACTTTCATGCCTCCAATCCGCGATGTTGACTGGCATTCTGATAAAAGCGATATTGTCCGTGAGCCTCAACGTCGCGCTGCGCTTGGTCAACGCTTAGGTACGGCCGCTTTGTCTGGACAAGAGTGTGCATAATGCATCCACGGGCAAGGTCCTTTCAAATCTTGTGTTGTTTTCCACCTACCAGGCTTTACGAAACTTTTGTTCAGTGGGGCATGTATGACCTGCGCATATAGTAAACACCTAAAGTGCAGCCTCCGGGACTATCAGCCTCCGAACGGCCAGTGGCTTCGTGCGAACAATGTCGATCTCCCCTTGCCAGCTTGTAGTGTTGCTCAAGTTGCGGCACCTATCTCTGTTTGTTTTTGTATTGGCGTTCCTTTTTTCGGTCGATGCAGGATCGGTTCTCTCTTCTACTTCGACTCGATCCAAGCAGCATAGTCCCGAGTACTCCGCCATATGGTACAAAACCCCTTCGAATGATAGATCGCTAGCAAATGGTATCAATTGGATGATTGCCGTTCGTGAGGATCTACGTGAGATTCGCGCTCGTGTGGCGTATGATATCAAGAAGCTGTCTCAGTTTTCTGGAGACTGTGGGTCGGAGGAGACTCTTGAGGATGACGAGCCGCCCAATCTCTTTCACAATTCTGATTCTGAACATGATGGTGATGATACTGGTTCGGCGCATGCCGGACCTAAGAGTGATGGGTCGGAGGTTGGCTCTATTGATCTGGATTCGGATGTTGATTCTGATGATGTTCATGATGTTGATGACGTTGATGATTGATTCGGATATGGACACAAGTGATATTGATGAGTAAACGGATTGGTTTCTTTTCTACCTGAAATACTGGGAAATGATATGAGAAATTCTACTGTTGATTTAAGAAGTAGGAGAAGTAGCATAGGAACCTTTCAGCTATTTAACAGGGAGTACGGCGTAGTAGAAGTCGATATCTATCATTATTGACTACTACTGTCACATCAGACACCCCGAGGACATATCCATAGAGATACCAACATCTATAAATCTTGAACTACGGAATATACTGTATAACCTCATTTGTATAAAAACGCCAAGTGCTTTTATGGAGCATCACGTTCTAAATGCGGGTTTACGAAAACGGTAATCGATCGGCGTCTCTGTCTTGTCTTTGCTTTAATCTCCTCGACTCTTCGATCTTCGACTCTCCTTGAATAATATCCCTAACTCTCATTTAATTTCCCGCTTTCACCTCCCTGATATATTTCGCCATTTTCAGTGGTGGTGAACCAGGCCCTTTCCTGCTGACGTATTTACCCGAATTTGCCAACCTCAGCCCCCTCCCCCAAGACCGCATCATCAGCTTTACACCTCGCTGGACGAGCGAACTGTCCAGTTCCCTTCTCTCGGCTGTCTCAATACCCTATACTGGCCTAAATGCTTCCCTCTGTCTATCAGCACATGTAAATCAAGGCCGTTGCCCCACCGGACATGCCCACTTGCGATCGACCGACCTGCAGAACATAACACAAAATGACATCCCACCTCGAAGATCGGGCCACCACCTCGGCCTCCGATATCCCTTTGAAAGATCTCGAATCTGCCTCCTTGGAACCCGACTCGACGATCACACCCCGCTGGAATGGCTTCTCACAATTTCACCCCTCAAACATCCTCGCGCATCCCGAGGGACTGACACCGAATATGTCGCAAGAGGACTGGCTGGCATATTCTGAAGACACATGGCACAGGTTGGCACTTGCACTCACCCCAAGTTTCCTACAACACTTGGTGGGCAATTCGCCACCCCAACCTGCGAAGCTCCACGCCATCGCGGCTCTAGATGGGCTGCGTGGCTGGGCCTGTCTGCTGGTCTTCAACTTCCACTTCTTTTTCACATACACATGGAAGGTCGCGATAGGATGGGGATTTGGCGGGGAAAACTTTGGAATTCACCAGTTACCCTTCTTCCATATGCTGATATCTGGTCACATTATGGTGGCCATCTTCTTTGTCTTATCCGGCTACGTGCTGTCATATAAACCGCTGAAAACTATTCGGAGCAGGTCCTTCGATCAAACTTTCACCGTGCTCGCATCGGGCACCTTCCGCCGGGCATTTCGTCTATATATCCCCGCAATTACTGGCATTCTTTGCGTCTTCGTGGCTGTTCGTCTCGGACTGTACAATTACTCCCACGGCGTCATTAAAGAGGGACACACAATCCTCGGCACTAACGAGCAACATCCACATGTGTATAAGTCATTCTTAAAACAAACCGATGACTTGTGGGTCACCTTGGCAACCTTGATGAACCCATTCGATTATGCGCTCTACTACAACTATTATAATCCGCACCTTTGGACAATTCCTCTCGAATTCCGCTCCTCGCTTATCCTATTCGTCGTCATCATGGGGACCTCACGCTTGGTGGCACCTGTGCGCATGACAGTGGTTTCTGGCTTGACTTGGTTCTGCATGCGTTATGGTCGCTGGGAAATCGTCCTATTCCTCTTTGGCATGCTGATGGCCGAAGTGGATCTCATCAATGGAACCTGGGAGCCCTCCGCACGACCGGCAGCACGAGACGATAAAACAACCATTCGCCTCAGTCCCGGCAGCAAGACTACAATCAGAGTGTCCCGCCGCGGGCTATGGATCTCACTCTTCGTAGTTGGTCTGTACTTCGGTTCATGTCCCAATATCGGTTTCAAATGGACGCCTTTCTACAGCTGGCTGTGGCACATCACCCCCAAGACCTACCCAGAGCCACACCGTTTCGCCCAGACTATCGGGGCCGTCCTCATCGTCTTCTCTATCAACCACTCCCCTGATATCCAGAAACTCTTCACAAATTCCTTCTCCCAATACCTAGGCAAGATCTCCTTTGCATTCTACGTCGTCCACGGCCCCGTCCTCCATTGTCTGGGCTACTCCATCATGCCCAATATCTGGAAGCTCACCGGCAAAGAGACAAACTTCCAATATTGCCTTGGCTTCCTCATTGGCTGGCTGATCTGCCTCCCCGTCGCCATCTGGCTAGGCGATGTGTTCTGGCGTGCCGTGGATATCCCCAGTGTGAAATTTGCGCGCTCGCTCGAAGATCGTCTTATTTCCAAAGGTCCAACACTCGGTCGCCCAACCCTGGCTACCCGCGCAGAGTGAAATTCTTCATTGCCTTGGCATGAACCTGTTTATATTAGACCGCGATTGTCTAGTGGTTGCTTTTTCTGTCTTACTACACCTGTACTCCATATGATACCTGCTCGCTGGGCGAGGCATTTTGGTTATTTTTACCGCACTGTACTGTCGGTCTATCCATACTCCTGTTACTTAGACTCGTGATTGAAGCAAGGCTGTCACGTCATACACTCCTTCAACAGAAAATGAAAGTAATTGCATATCTCATTCAAGCTATCAAATCCTCACGGCAAGGTTGACCCCTATCATCAATCCTAGTTGTTCCCAAAGGGGCTACGAGCTCGGGTAATGTGATTGCAGTGATTTACGTAGAATAGACACTCGAGACCAATTCCCAACCAATTCCCAGCCAATAGAAAATGATACATATCCAATGTATAGTTCATTCATTCGTTCACTCGTACCAAACAAGTCAGAAGTATGGCCAATCAACAGACACAAGAGTCGCCCATGAAGATCACCGGGTTCTCACTCGACCTATGCAAAGAACTTACCGGGTCCGACACAGAGAAGCCGACCGGCACCAGCGAAGCACACAACAGCAAAACAAACTAAAATAGGAGATGCCGTGCGCACGCGAAGCAATAGATCGCGGCAGACAGAAACAAATATCAGAGAGATTGGACCATCTAATGCCAGAGCCATGGGCGGTCGGAAGCTCCAGGGAAGAGAAGAGATGTCGTAAGGAAATCAAGACTTCTTTTTTCGTTGGCTCATAATGCGACTCCTGTTAGTCCTCTTCCGCCGCACACACCCAGCCACTCTCGTGGTTGGCCGGTGTGGTTGGGTCCGCCTTGTGGGGACCAGCTGATGTTGGACACTTCGTATTCGCTCTGCCAGACGCCGGCTGGACCGCGCTCCGAGGTTGTGGAAGGTGGTGCTCCCGGGGTGCTGGAGGGAGGGGAGGCAACTGGTGCAGCGTTGTGCTGATTGATGAGATCCCAGAGGAGAACCATGCTATCGTCGCCGCCAGATGCGAGGATGCCGCGACGGCTTGGAGACCACTCTACGCAGTTCAAGGCAGCCGAGTGGCCCTTCAGTTCCAATAGGGCTTGGCCTGGTTGTCGGACGTCAAGAACGCGGACAACACTAGAGTCTTGTGAAAATGTCGCCAGGAGATGGGCATCATGAGGGGATGCTAGGATACTGTGTTAGCTTGCGATTCTACTCTGTGTTGGGATCGTGACACCCATACCTGCGATTCTCAACAAAGGCGGAGGGTAGAGGCCGGTCTGCGATTGTCCAGGGGGCTGGAGCTCCCGGGAGTCATCACTGCTGAAAATATTGTCAGTATTCGTAGCCCATAATTATATTCTGGCAGACACTTACGCTTCTCATTCTTATCCGTCGGCTCGTAAATGATTGTGCTATGCTCCAGGCTTCGCAAATCAAACATCCGCACACTGCCATCAGCGCCACAGCTTACAAAGACATCGACACTGTTAGCACAGAAGCGAACGTCATACACCTCCTTGTCGTGGGCAATCAGCTGCGTCTTCGCTGTCAATGTGGGAATATCCCAAATGGTGCAAGTTGTATCAATGCTCGAAGTAATGATCAGACTTGGAGAGATTGTATTCCAGTCAAGCGAGGTGATAGGGGCAGTGTGCTCAGGGGATTTTGAGTTAGACAGCAAAGCCAGCGGGGAAAGCTTGGATGTGGCAGGATCTCGCTGGTTCATTGGACGAGTGATCGAGTTTGAGCTTTGGAGAGGCTGAGAATTCGGTAGTGACCATAGGCGAAGGTGATCTCCTGACGTGGCCAGCAAATCAGTCGATTGCTTCTGAGATGAGGGAGGTTCCCAGAGGATGCGAGTAACCGGGTAAGAATGTGTCGCCTCGGCCGTTTTCACGTAGTCCAGTTTGATTTCTCCCGCGGCCGCATCTGGCGTGTCGGGATCTGGTTGTGTCCAGTGTGCATCGAGGATTTGAATCTATTGACTGGTTAGGATGAACATATTTATCCTTAGGATGAATGCACATACATAGTTATGACTGTCTTCTAAATAGCTTCCCATGGCTAGCTTTCCACCAAAGCCCGCGTTGCCTGTGATAGGCCATTTGCACCAATCCACTGCATATATAGGCCATGGTGCCACGTAATTGCTGTTGGTCGGCACCTGGTTCTCTCCGTTGCTGTAAGGCATCGATGATATTCCGGGGTTCATAAGTGCCTCGCTCAACATGTGTTCACCGGAGGGTCTGATGTCAGACAAACCCAGGGGAGAGTACTTGGAACCTTGCGGGGTGTGAGGCGGAAATCCTCCAGGAGAGGAAGGATACTTGGAGCCATCGGGCGCACCATGTTGTTTGTACAAGGATTGGTCGAACCCGGCCGGGCTGGATCGCGAATGTCCATGTGAATTAATCATGCTGGCTCGGTGGTTGGTTTGCGACGACGACTGCGACATGGTAGGGACGACTGATGGAGCGGTATTTATTGATACTGCGGCCGGGCGGTTCTGATTCCCTGGCTGCAAGGCTCCGGGAAGGGCAGTGCTGCTGTTGTTCCCGTCGCCGCCGTACTGAGAGCTCTGTTGTACGTTAATCGAGGGAAGTCGGGCACCGCCGTCCGGTGTGGCGGGATAGTCGTGCGAGGAGGATTGGCGGGACAGGTTTGGATTGATTAACCCGGTTGGTGGAATGTGAAGCTCCTCCGGCTGGCGACTGAACACAGCTGACCGCCGGTGGGAGTCGTAGGAGGCGGGATTCGACATGATGTGGTCTATGCTGAGGAGCAAGAACGCCGTCTATGCAGGGGATGGTGCGATGGATCTTAGTTGGAGGATGAGCTCCACTGTTTCTCGATCGAGATCAGTGAAGGAGGTTGGGAGATGCACCAAATCGGGGATATAGCGGGACTTTGAAGGAGCTCCAACCAGAGGACCGTGTCAGCCAGGTATCATTCCAGCTTATCAGGTCACTTGGCTCGCAATGGCATCCTCATCTCAATCGGAGAGTTGTAGAGTGGAGGACAGAGGGCGGTGTCATCCCACGAGAGCAGCTGACTCAGCCGGATACCCCAGCGATGGAGATGGATCCGATCAGTTCTTCAGGGTGGTGGTTCTTTTAGCTTCTTTGTGGTTTCTTGGTTTTTTGAATGCTTTGCAAATTTGATATCTCTTCACTTTGAGCGTGAACCCCAGTGCTCGTTACTGTAGTTATATATTCCTCACACCATGGCTTCCGATCATACCAATTCACCCTCGGCTTTACTACTACTTCCCCCGCCCCCCGCCTTTTCTTTTGTTCAAGTCAAAGATGCCTTCCAGCCATCTTTGGTGGATGTCTACACTAAGCTCTCAAATGCCTTGATTGGATCCAACCGTACAGCTGTGCTGGATATTGCTCTGGCCATTCCAGAGCTTCTTTCCCCAGGCTGCCAACCTCGGGCCAGAGTGTTTGCACAACTCCAACATTACCTGAGCAGCATCTATACCCTGGTTGGTGTTGTCTGTGCAACACAAAAGATTGAATTGGATTCTCCAGGTGGCATTGATACCCGGGTGGTATTTATCGATGCAAGTGAGAGCACCTCGGCTATCCAGGTTTCTGATAGTCCTCGCTTTGGGCCCATTCTGGACATCCAATCACTAGCAAATTCAAGGCGCCGTTGGGATTATGTTTTCCATTTGTCCAACACAACTGGTCAAAATTTGGCTAATTCCTTCACCAACAGTGTTGGCAGTCAGGTTCGGGACGGCACGGCGGCAAGCATGCAAGCCATCACAAGCCAACCTGACTGGGAGATCTCTGACCACCTGTTAATTCCTGACGACCAACACCCATCCACTCCATACTATTCCGTGGTCGTTGGTGGCACATTTGATCACCTTCATGTTGGTCACAAGCTCTTGCTCACAGCAGTCGCATTGGTCCTGGAACCGCTGGACCGGGAGCGGGAGGGCCGCCTGACCATCGGAGTGACCGGGGATGCGCTGTTGGTCAATAAAAAATATGCCGAAGTTCTCGAGAGTTGGGAGGAGCGTTGGCAGAGTACTGCAGATTTTCTGACGGCCATTATGGATTTCTCGCCTGAAAAGAAATCACCGCAGATCGAGCGTGCTTTTACGCCAGGGCCCAATGGGAAGACCGTCCTCGTAAGGATCCAACCCAACTTGGCTTTTGAATTTGTGGAGATATCCGATCCTTTTGGGCCTACGATTACCGAGGAGAACCTTGGAGCAATCGTTGTTTCAAAGGAGACACATTCAGGAGGGGCGGCTGTTAATGAAGAGAGGGTGAAGAAGGGATGGAAAGGCCTTGCTGTATTCGAGGTAGACGTGCTCCAATCTGGAGAAGCAGCCACGGCCACTGATCTTGAAGGCTTCGAGTCCAAAATCAGCAGCACAGATATCAGACGGCGCCGAGTCCATCTTGCGAAGGTCTGATAGGTACATACGGCACGTAATGGTATGGGAGATCCAACAGCTAGTAGATAATCTCTCAAACACTTGTACATACATTAGTCTATCTTGATTTCGGCCATTAACCCCCAATCAATCGTTGCCTACCTCTTGGGCAGACACATAATCCACACGCATGGTCCATCACTCTGCATGATGTGACGACTTCCCGGCGGGGTCTGCATTGGCCCCTCCAACACTACTCGCTCTCATTCAATGGCCTTTCCTGCAGGTTCGCGCGCTGGCTGGCCGCAGAGTCAATCAATCATGTGATTCTTGTGTGGCAGCGTTACCAATGAAAGTAAGCGGATCGGGTCAGAGAGTCCGGCTTGTCAGTGCAGAGGGCGCTAAACCAGGCACTTGACGATCGTCCCCGGTCGCGAAATCAATCGTTAGGGCGAGAGCTCTCGTTATGCATGGTGAGACAAGTCAACTGTCCTACTAGTGTCTGCAGGAGAACGACGAGTCGAGTATTCGATATGGTTTTTTTTTTTTTTTTTTTTTTTTTTTCTCATTCTCTCCCCCTCTTCCCAATTCCCTCCGTGACTTGTCTCTCCGGTCTTGGGGACAGGTTAAGAACATCGATTTTCCCTCAATTCCTCCATATTTCCATGTTGCTGCTACTTCACCAAGCAGCCGATGCTTCGGCTGCGAGCGCCGATCATGGCCCAGCCACGTCACATTTATGATCTTGCTGACGAGCTACTGAGCGAGATCTTGTCCTTTCTTCTCGAACCCGCACCTCAAGCCCTAAACGGCAGATTCAATGGAAATGGACATACTTCCAGGCCTGGCAACCACGAACACGAAGTGTCCGATCTTGATCACTTTCGCCTCGTCTGCAAGCGCTTCATGCGAATCGGCACTCCTTACAAGTTCAGTCGATTCACTCTACGCTTTTCTGAGCATGGCTTCCGGCGATTAGATGAGCTGGTAGACATGCAATTGGCCTACTATGTGAAAACCATCACATATATGGTGCGACCCTTTTATCAAGGAAGCGGTACCAGCTCTTCAATATCCCATACACAAGCGAGCAAATCAAACTAATAGCAGAACATAGGATGGGCCCCGACACTACGAACTTTGGGGTTAGAGAATCCCGAAATATCCCAACTACACAGCCGCCGGCTACGTGAACAAACCAATCTAACTGAAACCAACAACGACCAAACCCGCCTCCGCCGTGCAATTTCATCGTTCTCGGCTCTACAGGAAATAAAACTCCTAAGACTGCAAGACGAAGCAGACGAGTACCTCATCGACTTTATACGCGACCACTCGCTAGTAACCGGCACCAGCACCGCAACAAGCATCCGCTTCGACTGGGAAACCGCCTGTTCGCGCGCAGTAACAAACCTCAGCATCGCCCTCCTCGAGTCGAAATGCAGCTCCATCCGCTTCACAGGGCCCCAAATCAGCCCTGAAGCAACCCTCCAGCTTCTCCGCGCCCCGTCAACAACCCTCGCCGCCATGGGTGGCCGCCTCACAAGCCTCGACATAAACTTCCACTCAACAACTGACATAACCACAACGATGGCCGATCTCTCAGAAGTCTTCCACCGCTTCTTCGTCGCAGCCAAGAACCTCATCGCCATCCACATCGGCTTCCTCGGAAAAACACCCCTAGACCTCGATCTCGAGCTAGTCTTCCACCACATCCGCTGGAAAACCCTCCGCAAACTCAGCATCCAAGGCTGGCGTCTGAGCGCAGACGAGATCATCGCACTAGCACGTCGTCATAGTCCCCAGTTGCGTGATTTCCGCTTACTTAGCGTCTACCTCCGACCTGGTGGGCAGTGGCGCGATGTGCTGGTTATCCTGCGTGAGGAAATGGAGCAGCTGGAGCGGCTGGTTCTGAAGGATATTGATTACGCTGCACACTTTGATTCGGTTGCTGTTTCAAATGGTGTCGAGGTGTTTGATGATTACCCTGCTGGCCCTGTGCCATCTTCTTTTACGGTTGCGACGGGTACGTCCTCGGCTGTTCAATCGCCGACTACTACCCCGCTGGTATCTGATGGACTCCCTGCTTTGGTAAGGGGAAGGCGACTGCCGTTGAGGCGGACTTCGCTCGAGAGACTGCGTGCCTTGTCTAGTGAGGACTTGGGGGATGACGGTGTACATGTCCTGCGTGAGCAGATGCCTCTTTGGGAGGCGTGGGTTGTTTCTGCCCCGCATCAGGTGAAAAGGAATGGTCAGCCACATTGGAGCATGTAAAGGGGGGAGCGAGAGATAAAGATATGCCTACAACGTGCTGATTACTATTTGAACTTTTTTTTCCCTTGGAGTTGGGGGCTGTTTGAATTACTTTTTGATGACTTGCATGTGTTAGAGCCGTTTTATTATATATATATATTTCGGTATAATTATATCGTTTAAGGCACAAATTTCGTAGTAACATGTACTGCATTAATAATGGCCAACAAAATAAGGATATGTACACAAGGATGCAATCTTTAGGGTATCGTTAAACAAAAGTATGTTAGAAGAGGACCAACCCTGCACCAATTATTTTCAAAGTCCCCTATTCATAGCACTGGGACCAATCACCGCCGGAGCGTGCAAAAGTGAGGCCCTTGACGAAGTCGCGACGGCGACAACGGCCAAGCTTATCAACGGGGCAACCGTGCAGCGGAACAACACGGTCGTTAACGAGGACTCGGACGAGCGGCTCCGGATCGCGGCGACATTGCATCATCTCAACATAAGCACGAGCACCGAAAGGCACCGTCCAGGCAGATGAAAACCCGTCTGTTTCCTTAATTGACTGGGCCTTAGTGATGGAGAGCGGAGCGGTGCCGTTGTACAGTCCCAAAGCAAAGAAGAACGGAATCATTCCATTGTCGTGCGTGAAGTCTGCGTACATGGTGTAGTTGAGGGGGAATGTCGCAGCGCCGGGGGCATCGAGCGTACGGTTTGTGCTTGTGTTGTCGACCACTGGGGTGTGAGTGAGACGGGCGATGAGTTCGTTCACAAAACCGACACCCTGGGTTGGGCCGAGCGGGTTGCCTGCGCCATAACCGTAGTACTTGCTGAGCGACTGGAGGTAGTCGTATTGGGTCCATTCGGCCTTAGTGAAGAGGTCGCAGAATGGAGATAGCTCAGATCCATCGCTAGTCCGGGACACCGTATCGAAAGGACAAATGTCCATCAGACTGATCACATCGATGTTTTCGAGTTTGATGCCAGGAAGATTAGCCTCGAGACGGGCTCGGATAGGCGGCACAAAGATGGCCATGTATTTTTCTTCGACCTCGTCGCCTAGTTCACTCTCTTCGAACTTGGCACAGATCTCACTGTGGTTCAGAGTGTTGTTGGTGCCAGACTCTTCCGAGATGAGGACATTGACCTTAGGGCTTGATTGGCGGTGATTGGCATGCTTGTCATTCAACTTTGCCTTCTGGAAGCCCTTGATGAAGTTCACTCCTGAAGCCACAACCCGCTCCCGAGTCAGAGATGCGAACGAAGGGCACGGCCTTCTTAGCCAACGCCTCATAGCGCTGGTAGAACTTGGTTCCCGAGTTCACCATCTGGTTCACTCCAAAGGGAACCAAGTCATCACCGCCCATGGTGTAGTTGTATGAGCGGATGAATTTCGTGTTGCCCTTGAATGAAGTCGCGTTCGCTTGGATGCCCTTAATGAGCGCGGCATATCCCTTGCTCTTTTTCGCCGACGGGAAGCGAGCACCATGGCGGGAGATCACCTGAGCAAAGGTGATCTGACAACCGTGAGGTACCTCGTCTGAGATGGCCGATTCGTCGGAAAGAGAGAAATAGGGCGAGTACTGGCCCCACTTGTGCGAGATCGAGGAGTTGCATTGATAACCGCCGTCAACAGTATTGCAGGCATGTTCGTGATGCGATGATCTCTTCGACTTGATCAGGGGAGAAGCCACGGGTAGGTCAGGCTGGGTTGTGACATGCGAGGGGGCGCCGTTGCACTGGGATCCCTTCGCGAAGTACACAAAGAGAGCGAAAGCGCCCAGCAGGGACACGAGGGTAATTGAACGCCATTTTTGGGACGATTGCTGGCGTTGCTGCTTCTGGCCTTGATCTTGGCTCTCGCCAAGTAGGCCCTCTTCCTCCTGCTTTTCTTTGGAGAACGCTGCCATTGCACCTAGTGAATGAGTAGATGGTATCACGACAAGTACGTGGAACCTGCAAGGATATCGAATTCAAAGAAAGGGGGAAACCAGTCCATTTTTAAATGTCGACCTGACTCCAAAGCATTTGGGTTAACCCTTGCGGACGTTGTGCTCGTGAGTGTTTTGGCCCCGCTGATTGGTCCGTTGTTCTTGTATGAAGCTGAAACACGTGGCCCCGGAGATGCCCTACCCGCGTTGAGATACTTAACAGTACTTGACTCTTAGTATGTTTTAGTATGAAGGTGGATGTCACTCAAGGTACCCTGTTATCTACTAGCCCAATGAGGTCCCAAAGTTATTTGACATGTGGTGATCTTCCCAATTTTCGCCCTACAAGGACAATTTTATGTGCAACATGGTCCTCAATTCATATCAATCTACATCTTTTCTTTCCTTCCGGGATAGTTTCGGGCAATTGGCCCACTATGTCTTACATCGCTTCCAAGGAAAGTCCAAGAAAGTCCCAAGGTTAGCTTGTTTCTTAGCTTACTTGTATGCATAAAGTTTTTGTGGCTCTCACCTGGTGTGGAGCCCTTCCACATATTTATTTCCGTCCCTATCAGATGAGATTATCTTTGCCCTGGATTGATTTAGCGTGTTGAAATGCAGGGGTACTAAGGTAAAAAAGAAAAGAAAAGAAAAATGGTGATCATTGCTAGCGACCTCGGTTTACTGCTTTGCACATGTATACTCCATATATATTTGTGTAACTCCCACCCCTGCCAATATGCTACGCTAAGAAAACGGTTCCCACCAACTACAAGAATCAACGGCCCCATGTGCAGTGAATTGACTTTCTAATAAATTATGACAATATAATTTTTAAAGATTCTAGAAGAAATACGAGGAAGAATAAGCGAGCACGCATATCATATACACGCCTACTGTGGGGTCTATTTAGGTATTACCGAGGTATATAGGTGATAGACCAGGCTAGAAGTCATTGGCATCGAAAGTACGGAGTACGGAGTACGCGTTGCCGCAACGAAAAGATTAAGGCATGATCATCTGTTTCAAAGATCAGCAGACACGTAGATCATATGTAGATCAATTCGATCACTCTGACCGGGAGCCCATAACGGTGCTAGGCGTACGGGGTACCGACACAATTATCTACAACAGGGGATACTTAGGATAGATACTCCGTATGGAGTCGGATATAAATACTAAAGGTATACCATAGTGCATGCTATAATAAACTAACAAAGAACTACTTCTCCTAAGAAGTAGCCCACGAAGGTAATATTTGTTGTGCATCAGAATTCATCCACACTGATGATGTACTCCACTCACTCCACCTCGACTGTAACGGTATAGTCATCTCCCTTCTGCCCAACCACAGTGATTTTGACTCCATCCTCGGAAAAGGTCTTCCGGCCCGCCTCGGTTGTAAAATGGGCATCATTGAGTTCATCATCATCGCAGCCCCCAGAACCTGGAGTCGCATCATGGACGCGAATAGGGCCAGCACCGGAAGCCAGGGATGTTGATACGGTATAGATGAGGACTCCGGAACTGCAAGCCTTGCTATCCGCGCCAGCCTTGGCTCTGACCTCAGCGACAATAGCAGTAGTCTCGTCCCGCTTCACAACGACTGCTTTAACGCCCTCCTTGGTTCCAACGGGGGTAATGGTGTGAGTGGTCGATCCAGCACCGGCCACACAATCGAACTGGTTGTCGGAAAACCATCCCAACTTCCACTTGTGCCACGCAAAGTAATCTGGAAGCACTCCGCTGATCAAACCCATAATGTCATGCCCACCAACATACATGGTGGTGCTGCCGCCAGAACCATCCGAGGGATACAGATCCGGTAAACCCATTGTGTGTCCTGTCTCGTGGTTCATGACCAAAAAGCCCCATGCGTCAGGAGCGTCTTGGCCGAAGGTGACGGTTTTGCTGATGACAGTTCCATCCCCTGCCGTCAGTTGGCCCATGAAGGTAGGTGAGAACGAGATGTGCTTTGCTGCCTTGGTCGGGACGATATAGAGAACATCGGTGCCGGCGAAGCTGATGGCCTTGCCGACTGAGTTGAGCGCATCTTGGATGTATTTTTCTAGAAGCTCCGAGGTGATTGACCGGTCGTAGGAGTAGGTGGAGGACTCTGCGGGCATGCGGTAGAATCGGGATGTGTCGGCGGTGACATTGAGAGTAAGTTGGCCAAAGGAGGAATTGCTGTACCAGTCTGGTGCGCCGGGAATGAAGAGCTGGTGTAGTTCCTCAGTTGGCTCTGAGGCCTTTGCATCAGGGAAGTCGACAAAGATCATATAGGCGTTGAGGGTGCCTGTGCTTGGGGCAAAAGTCTGGTCTGTAGCACCGATGCCCTCGGTGAGATCCACGGAAGTCGGCTTAAGTTTGCAGGAGTTAGTTCCGGCGGCGCGTGAGTTGATAGCACGAGCATGATGGTGTTGGTGGGTGAATCCAGTCTTATGGGTAGACGTCGAAACCGAAGGGCATGCATTGACAACCTGTGTCAAGAGGCAGAGCAAGCCCCAAGGAGCGAGCCCTGAAAGCTGATTGAATTGGGTCTTCATCTGTATAACTCTGTTGGCTTGGATGATTCGTGCCTTGTACTACATGATTGACTGGCAATCGAGGGTTTTATAGTTAGGAAGAGCATTATGGTCCAAGTGAGACACAAGGTGGGATAGTATCATCATGAAACAATTAGGGTAAGTCAAAGGATTCCTTGGTTCCATATTCATCGAGCCAAGACCTATTAGCCGTCTGAAATAAAGAGAAGCAACTGGTAGATCGGACCCTGTTGATATTAGACCCTTGTTGATAGATTACCTCTATTGTTACCCCGTATATGGTCTATCATCTTGGCTTCGTACTCGTATAAGAGATATGTACACCCATATTCCGGAATACTTCGGTAGGGACGATAAGCAGCATAGATGCAGCTCTGCATATATATTTACCCTCTTTCGACACGGACATGCTGGAGAACCTCGTGGTTTCTTAATTTTCTTTCTTGCTCCTTTCTTCATACTTTTCAAGGGGAGGGGACACCTGCATTATGAGTGGGGTTCTCAGGGGCTAGCTATGTACTCCGCATCACGGCCACCAGGCCGACGAGAGATAATAGGGGCATTACTTCATGAATCACGCTTGGCCGTATTATTGTTATGCATAGCATTAGATCAACCGAGTCTGACTTATGCTATATATTAGTGCCTTTTCTCTTGAGTCATGCACTTCGACTCTTTGAGGGTTGAGAAAATTCACGTGGTACCCATAAGTCAAAGGTTATACTATACAGAAAACTGTCTTGCACAAAGTATGCTTTTGACTGTCTTCGTATACATCTAAAAGTGCATCTAAAAAGAGCAACTAAATGACTTGAAAAGACCATCTAAGCGGCCGACTATTCTTGTATCATTTGTACGGGAAAGTCATACAAAAGATACCTGACTCCTAGATTTTTGTACAACTTTCCCATGCTAAGATGGAGCAACAATGACTTTGTACAATTAGCACTACTCTTAGTATATTTCCAGCGAATATAGTAAAATATTCTCCATCTAATCTATCTTTATATGTAAGTAGAAATAAAGAAGTTAAACAATTCGATTCTGTAGTTCGGCTGTGGGGGAATCCAACCAATCAGAATTCCTGGGGTTGCCGAGACGCGCCCGACCCAAACATTCCGACTTTGCTCCAAAACAAACCACCTGGGCAACTCCAATCCTCAACTTCACCTTTTTACCCTTAGAATGCCTCCAATGAGCAGAAATTCTGGTTTAAATGACGATTCATTTTCGCTCACCAATTTGGATGACGAAATAATGGGCACCTCAACACGACGTGTCGATGAGGAGCTTGACTACGATATCAACACATCAACACTTGACCGTGCTTTCCCCGAATTTTCGCAAATACAGACCTCCGAAGAGGAGGAACACGAGTTGGACGACGACCTCTCACATAGCGATCTCGAGATGTCCGTCGAGATGGGACGCGGTGCTGGAAAACCAGAACGCGACGACTCGCGCAGCTCCATTATGAGCTTCGAGAACAGTGTACGCTCATCCTCGCCAGCCATTCGCGTTGAATATCCCACACCACAAAAGCCAGTTGCTGCCACGCGTCCATCGCGTCGTGCAGTCAGTGAAAACCTACGAAAGAACGCCCAGGTGCGACGAGCAACCCAAGCACAGAAAGAAACTATGAGCCCCCAAGTCTCAAAGGCTCAACGCGACCAGCGTCGAACATTCTCCGATATGCACGCAAAAGTGCGCGACAGCTACGAGGGTTCATTTTTGGGAGATGAACGACCTGCCCCTATCACAACGAAGACGCGTTCGACGCGTTTTGGAAACGCAAACACCTCTCAAGAGATTGCAGACGCAATTGAGCGCGCTTCGCGGGACGCCTACGCGAAGGAAATCCGCAAATCAACTTCCAACACCGCAGGAACTCCCCGCAAAAGCAGTGCCAATGCAACCAACAATAACACTATTGGTGATACCATGACCCATCAATCCTTCCTTCTTCCCGACCTCCCTAACATCTCTGAACTCGTCTCCGGTGTGTACGAAGATGGCACACCCGTTTACTCCCGACAGGGCAAGATGCGCTCTACCCGATTTGTGTCCCCACTTCATGACCAAACAGACGCGTCTCTCCCTCACGAGCACATGCCGCTTGATGCAGTGCCTGTCCCCGAAGATGAGAAGGCCTTGTTTGTTCATTTGAGGCTACTTCAGGATAAAGTGGCAGAATTGGAGATGTTCAAGTCCGAAGCAGAGAAAAGAATCGATAGTTACCGCCAGGAGAATTCATCTTTGAAGGCGAACAGACCTCGCCAGTCATCAGCGAAGTATGAATCAGAGGATAATTCGCACAGAAAGGGATCTAAGCGCTTGGAAAATGAGAACCAGAAGTTAGACGCTGCCAATCTCGCTTTACAAAACCAGTTGGATATTGCCGATCGAAAGGCGCAGGTCCAAGAGTCTGCCATCAAGCGCTTGAACCACGACAGAGAGTCTGCTATCTCACAACTTGGAGCCGCTTATCTCGAAACTCGAGAGTTGAAAGCCGAGAACGAGGAACTGCGACAGGAAAATGCAGAACTCAAGTCTCAGCTCAGCCGAACCTTGGGCCGCAAGACTCGCGAACAGGATACCGTCGAGTCCGAAGCCAGTTCAGCCGCGTCTGATGATGTTGATGATAGCCAATCTTACACGGAACCCAGTGGGGACGTTAGTCGAAGCACCAGAGACATTACATCGAAGAGTAACCGCTCCACTACGAGAACCAGACGCCAGGATGACTCCCGCTCTAAGGTGTCTACCCAAGTGAATAAGGAAATTTCCCGCCTTGAAAAGCAACGTGCCGATGAGGCTCTCTTCTCCATTGAGATGCCATCACCAAGACGTACATCAACCTCTAAGCCATCAAAGTCAGCCGTGTCTCGCTCCGCCGAGTCCAAGAGCTCCCGCAAACAACCCAGCACGAGCAAGCAGCGCGTGAAGCGGGTGGTAGTTGAAGAGGTGACTGGGCCGGAGGTGTCTGAGCAGACCAAGGCTTCATCCGAAACTGACGTTACCTTGTTGAGTGTCATTGATGAACATGAAATCTCTCGTCTACGCAAGACATTGGAAGAAGAAAGAATGATCCGCAAGCAACGACGTTCGAGTGCCCCCAAGGAATCCAACCCTACAGAGACTGTCAACTCGACTAGACAGAGCATTTTGAAAACTCCTGCGCCCCGCAAATCATCTCTTCGCGAATCCAAAGCAGAAATACCTCGCCCAGCCTCTGCCACTGGAGATATTACTACCGCCTCAAAGGCCAATACCGATGGAGACAGTAGTCTCACAGTACCAATTGCCGAGCGTTCTCGGCGTCATTCGGAAAATTCGTTGCCCGCAGCATCCCAGCGCAGGAAGCAGCGAAATGCCTCTGACATGACCTCCGCTTTCATTCTTCCTGATATTACCCTCCACCACATCGACCTGGCGGCCGCTGATCCGTCCAAGTTGCCACAAGCCACCCAAAAAGCATTGGATACCATTGCTCGACACAATGGACAGAACTGCACAGTTTGCAACGGTCACTCCGCTGACGGCACCTGCAACCACGAGTCCGTGAAGGTCGCCAAGCCTATCCCTGTGTCAGAGCGTATGCCCAAGCCATCCGTCTGGAATGAAGAACCAACTATGCGCCCCTCGCAGCCCCCTGCCGTCGCCCTTGCTACTGTTCTCAAAGGCCTGGAGGATGAACTTTCTCACCTGAAGATGCAACTGGCCACATACCAAAGCGCTTACAACAAGCTTGACGCATCGCTCGGCAAGCGCCCACGCAAGGCCCTCCAAGAAAAGATTGACAAAATCTTCAAGGACATTGATATGAAGTCCGACCAAATCTACGCTCTTTACGATGTTCTGGAGGGCCAAAAGCAAGATGGTCGTGAGATGACCGAGCATGAAATGGAAGCGACTCTTGAGTCAATTGGAATTGACGTCGACATGTCCCATGCACCTGATGTCACTGGCACTACCGATAAGTCTTCTCACCACAGCCAGATTGAATTGGATGATGAGGAGGATTTGCCCTGGGAGGGTATTGAGAGCACTGGTGAGATGACTGGTCACCTTTCTTTGGGCGGCCACTGAGTTTATTGCATCGCTTGCGTGTGTTGATACTATTCTGGTTACTTTGCTGCTACTTTGGCGCTGTTTCATGGAGTATGGTTCCATTTGTATGTTTAATTCATTGATTTGGGTAATCAATTGTTGGTTAGGTAGTTCTTGATACTCAAATGTCATTGCGGTCGTGCCACGGCCTTGGAAATAACCTTTTCCATCTCAAGAGTTCGATGTAGCGGTAGCTCCCTTCCCGAACGTTTACTTGTTGTGTGCTGTTTGTATCAATCTCAATATCTTTATCAAATTTTGGTTAGATGATGGTAATACCATATGCAAGTGGCTGGGATGCCCCAACTGAACAGAGAAAAACGCCATCGCTGTGCTATAAAAGAATCCGAATACCATGCAAGCCCCCAAGCCATTGCAACCCAAGTCGAAGTAGCATTTAGGCAGTGTTCTCTCCACCCTCCACGGCCATAGCAGCACCCTCCGTAGCTGTCGACTTCGAAATATTAGCAGCATCTCGCTGTGAGATTTCCTCCCCAACAAAGCAGCTCAACCCAGCAAAAGCCTCAAGCAGAGTACGCGAGTAGTATTCACGCAAATCATAACCACCAGCCAGCATGCGCGCATCATTGCGAATAGGATCAAGATACTGCGACGGATAATACGACTGGAGAGAATAATAATCGCGCTTGTCGGCCACATAGCCCATAAACGGATCGTACGGTTTCTCCGGTTCGGGCGTCTTGATCTTGCGCAGACCCTTGACAAGCCCCGTATCCGCCGCCCCAGCATGATCCACCGTAGAAAGATTCGTCCCGCGCTTGGTCTCCGACCGCAGCGCAGCCTGTTTCTGACGAATGCGTTCTTCCTCGCTGCGGCGCGCGGACGACTTCTTAAGTAGCACCTTGTGTCCTTCACGTGCGATGGCCGCAGCATCTGTCGATGAGCCGGAGGCGAGTCTTGAGAGGAAATCCTCTCGTCCGGCTTGGATCTCGCGGCGTTCGGTCTCATATTCCTGGCGCACTGCTTGGCGGCGCAGTCGGGCTTCTTCTTGTTCGAGGGTCATTCGGGCTTGGAAGGAGGAGGCTTCCTCGGCTTCTATGGCTTGATTTGTGCGGATTGACTGCATGTTGTCTGCTGCGTATTTTTGGAGCTGGGCTTCGGTCTTCGCCACGTCGATCCGGCTTACTAGGTTCGCGATTATGTCCTCTCTTTGTTCGAGGAAGTCGTCGTATGCACGTTTTGAATCGAACTCTTCTTCACGGCGGTTCAGGCTAATTGAGATGAGTTGTTAGTGCTCCTATATCATAGGGTGCTTAGGGGTGTGGCAAGAGACGTACATGTGCATCACCCGCCGCCGGATATCTACCTCTCTTTCCACCCCGATATCTTCGAATGTCTGCTTGCGGAACCGATTTTTACGCAGCGTCTTGCGACAACCGGCTACCGGACAGTTTGCAGGGCCGGATGAAAAGATGCGATCCACGCACGACTCGCACATCTTATGGTAGCATTCCGGGTTGATGAGAAAGCGCATGTCCGGGTTGAGGTATCGTGACGATTTGCAGACAGGGCAAACCTCTGTGAAAAGATGTAGTTAGCATTATAAATCACAAAAAAGCTGAGCAAGACCTTACCATCTTCATCACGGCGAGAAGCCGCATCGGAGGCCATGGTGAGAGTAAAGTGACGTGGGAGAGATGGACCACGGACTGGCTTGAGGCTGATAAGCAACTTATGCGCACGGACCACATCATCGTCACCTTTTTGCGACTTTTTTTCTTTTTGCCTCCGGCAACCCCTCTCTTTACTCCGTTTTATTCAATTTACATTGCCAGTGCAAAGCTGCCACTGAGTTTTCGCTTTTCACAGTCATGGGAGTACCGAACCCCAACCTCGACGCCCTCGAGGAGCAGCGCCTCACGCTCGAAGAAAACATCCTCCAACTTCAAAAATCGCTTTACCACTGGCGAACCTGGGAAGCAGAATACGATGGACTCCGCGAGGAGATCAGCAACTTAGAAGATGACGCCAGCACAGACGACTTCTTTGCCGTGGCCCTGGACTTCGGTGGCACACTGGTGGACCAAAAAGAAATGCAGACAATACTTGGTTCGCGAGGTGCGGCGCGGTCTCGCCAGCAAGTGGTTGATCTTCTTGGAAGACGCATCGACTACGTGCAGCAGAACGTTACGATTATGGAAAAGAGGCTTTCGAAGGCCCAAAATGAGCTGGATGCTTTGGTCTTGAGTGATCAGCCGCCGCTGCAGGACGGTGCGGAGTTCCCGATGCAGGAGATTATGGAGGAGCTTGATGAGGATGGAAACGTTGTCTCAAGCAAGATAAATACTCCTGGGAATGATGCTTCGGAATTGCTGGACGTGCTGAAGAAGGCTGGTGTCAAGGATATTCCGGAGACGAATGAGCCGGAGAAGACTGTTGCCACTCCCGCCGATGCTATACTTGAAGACATGGCGGGCGAGCCAGTCAGCTCAACGGCTATAGATCAGCAGAATGGTTCCTCGAGCGATAATGCAACCACAGAGCGAACTGGCGCATCCCTGAAATTCTCTCAGCCCCAGTCTGTGGTGACTGCCGAAGATCGCATGCAGCCGCCTGTCACGGACGTGAATGAATCTGCGGAAGAAGCAAGACTCCGGCGTGAAATGCTCGAGTATGGTATCAATGAGGTGGGGGCTATTGTGGCAGAGTTGGAAATGGATGAGTCCGGAAGTGACATTTCCTTCGACGAGGAGTACGATTATGACTACGACGAGGAAGATAACGAAGACGAATATGGCCGCTCTCACACCCGCCTCCCGGCGGAGTACCACCAGCAGATGATGGAATTGGAGGCCAAGCTCAATGCCCGAGGGTTGATGAACATGGGCAAGGATACCGAGACGTTCCCCGAGGAAGTGCAGCAAGAAATCGCAGCACCTTCTGAGGTTGAAACTGCTACGCAAGAGAAGAAGAAGCCTAAGAAACGGGTTGCATTCGCCAATGACCTTGATATCGCACCAGCTCCTGCGCCCCCCATCGCCACCGAGAGGGCTCCTGCTTCACAGGCCGAGCCTCAGGTGCTCGCTGATTCCATTGTTGAACGGACCAGCCGTGCCCCAGAACCCTCTCCAGCCGCCCCTGCTGTTCCCAAGAAGACGTCGCGGTTCAAAAGTGCTCGTGCCGCTGCTCCGGGTAGTACTGCTAGTGAATCTATCACTGCCGGGGCTACAATTGCAAATCCCTCTGAAGTCACCGAATCCCGCCTTCGCAAACAAGCCAATACCGCTCCATCTGAGGTACCCCCAGTCCTCTTCCCCGCGAAACCCAAAGAGCCCAAGCCCTTCTCGGCACCGATCTCCGATATCGTTGAGAAACCTCTGCCGCCTCAATTCCCACATGACCGAACTCTGGCCGAAAAGGTCTTTGAGCGACAGGTCAAAACGGGGGCAGCAGTGGCCCCTGAGTTGGACCACTATGACGAAGAGCTTCACCAGAAGCAGATTGCGTCTGAGTTCTTCAATATGCAAAAACGCATGAACAATACATCGAAAGATGACGAGGAACAGGATACTCTACCCCCTGAAGAAGATCAACCCAAACGGGTGAGTAAGTTCAAAGCTTCACGAATGGGATAGTTTTGCGAGGGTTGAAGGGCTATCTAGACTCAATATCACCTATGTATGTACTTATTTGGAAAGACCATTCAGCTGTTTGCTTTGTTTGTCTCCCTAGTCCCCCTAGTCCTTATTAAAACCCTCCTTCTCTCTCTGTCTCTTCTTCTTCTTCTTCTTCTTCTTCTTCTTCTTCTTCTTCTTCTTCTTCTTCTTCTTCTTCTTCTTCTTCTTCTTCCTTCCTCTGACCAACGGGCTTCCAATTTCTTGTGGGTTTACCCTCAAGGAAAAATACAAGGTGCATACCCCTGTCTGCTCGTGAGATGGGAAACTGTGGTATCACTCACCAACTGAAGCCCAAGATCAAAAGAGAGCTTCTCTGGCTGCCCTCCTTCAATTCTGTCAGAACAGCAGAGAAATCGTATGTTACTCGGGCTTCTCTAGGGAGGTTCAGAGCAACTACGGGAGTATTGACTGCCTGGAGGATCGATAGATGGAGCTGTGGTTTATTTATTCTCTCTCGACATCTCATATGTAGTTAATGTATTTATGTCTTCCCACCTGTCACCTGCTTTGGTGCCTTGTCACGTAGTCCCCCTCTTGATGCTTCGTCGTATTTCCACCCTTACCCTGAGACTGATCTGGCTCCTACCTTAACCTACATGACTGCATGTCTTTGGGACAACAAGGATTGAATTATCAGTATTACTATAAAATCCCTCATTCTCTATTATTAAACCTATACCTACCCACGACAGAGCACACAAACGTGCAACATGATTCCTATCATGTCAACAAACGAAGGACGACACAACCTCACAGGCAAGATGTCACGCCTGGTGCAATCCTCTCCAACTTGGTGACCAACTCCTTGAAAAACGCTTCCTGAATCAGAACTCCCTTCTTATCGGTCACGATACAAGAGGGACTAGAGAATAGAGTTAGCCGACTTGATTTTCCCAGATAGACACCAACAACCAACTAACCTATGAACGTGACAGTTTGTCAAATATTGCCCATTAGTTTTCTCATCAGCCATGATCCCGTGTACCAAAGCCCGACTACCCTCCTCAGTACTGCGCGCCAGCAGCTTTTCAAAAACACGGAAACCGACAGTGTCCGTTTCCCGCGCCAGTTGAGACTTGCAGAAGCTAGGGTTCGGCGTGTTTATGATAACCAACGGCGCGTTACTCCGTGCAAGCTGATCTGCCAATGCACGCACACCGAACACCACCAGCAGCTTTGACAATGGGTATCGACCCGCCATATTGGAAGCTTCTTTGTTGTTGAGCGAGTTGAAAATACCGCCCTCGTTTTGCGGATCCAGATGCTCAAGAGAAGCGGTATAATGCAGAGCCGAGTTTGGAATGGTGATGCGAGGTGTTATATTGAACTTGGAAGCTGATTCTTGCAGTTTGGGAACCAGTAAGAGAATAAGCAAGAACGTGCTCACCACATTGACAGTGATGGTTTTCTCGTCTTCCTCCGATATACTGAATGTATTGGTGATTATCCCAGCATTCGGCAATAAAGCATCAAGACGCGGTAGAGCTGCAGCACGACAGGCAAAGCTTTTGACTGAGAAATAGCTATCCATATCCAGTAGCCACACCTCGACTGAGCTTTCTTCGCGGTTGGTGGATTGTAATAGTTCTTGTCTGGCAGCTTCACCCTTGTTCAGATCGCGTACAGCCATGATCAACTTCTCCACACCTAGGCGCAACAGGTGGCGGCTGGCTTCGAGGCCGAGTCCTTGGTTTGAACCGGTTACGATGATTGTCTGTCCACTGAGATCGCCTTCGGGATATGGAAGCTCGATGAAGGTGTTGGAGAACAGGGTTGATGAGACACCTTCCAGGGATGAAAGTAAAGGCATGATTCTGTCTTGTTTGATTGAATTTGAAGAAATATGAATAAGATAATGGGAGTGTTGGCGAATTGTAGTAGCAAAGTATGACCGTTCAAAATCCAAAAAATGCCTTTCTTGACGCTTTAAATAGTAAACCGTTCGGTCTGGCACTCGGACTTATTATATCCATCCTCGTCAATTCAATTCGACTCTATATAAGAGGCCGAAAGACGCCTCATAGGGTTTGATTATCTCCGTCTACTCCGTATTTATTACACAGATTCGTTTGCGGAAAAAGGTGTGTAATTATGAATTTAAGGTATCAATACCGTCAAATAACAAACCTGGCGGGGATGGAGATAATATCTCCGCCTCAAATCGCCCCCCTCATTTTCTATACTCCGAGAGATAATCTGTTAATCTGTTAATCCGTTCGAATACGAAAATAAATTTAAGACTTTTGCTTGATCTAGACTCATTCCTGGAAATGTCTCTGAAATTCGAAAAACGAAATCGACCACCTCTGTCCTGCGAACCATGTCGCACACGGAAGTAAGCATGCATCGCATACTACCCCCAGGATCTCACCTCATATACTCACTTTCCCTAGGTTGAAATGCAACAGATCTCTGCCCTGTGATACATGTATCAAACGCAATGTGGAATCTAATTGCACATACGCTTCTAACGCCGTACGCGGTAAGACACGTACTTCAAGGGAACGTGCCTTGAGTGATAGACTGAAGCGTCTCGAGGATACAATCCAATCATTTGTCGGGGGAGAGAATGTGTCCTCAACAAACCCACAGCCACAACTAGAAGGGACACATACATTTAATGAGAGTGGAAGCCTTCTTGGCCCCCATGGAGTTTCTGTCACCGCGGCTGGGTTGGCTACTAGCAATGAACCTCGCACCGGAGACCAACATCCCCAAGAAAAGTCGTGCCCAGTACTTTTCATACTCATAACGGTAAAAATAGTCACGTTGATTCCAGTCACTGGGCTTCTATATTGGAGGATATCAAGGAAGTCCGAGAAAGCTTGTCTACCGTTGATCCCTTTTCGCTCAGCGAGCCAACAAACGACAGTGGAAGTGGACAATCAGACGTGAGTCTTGCTCCTGGAGCCGAAGCACGATTAAACATCAAGGATATTCTTGCCTCGCTTCCAACGCGCCCTATCTGTGATATGTTGGTCTCTCGATATTTCAATGCTCCGTACATGGTACTAGGTGGGATATCATTTGCAACTACCCTTCATCATATATATGGCTGATTCCAGGACACTGGCAGGTATTGTGCACTCGGGGAAATTTCAGGGTGAAGTGAGTTACATATTTTGTGTTGTACTCTTTTTGAAGCTACTCGATGGAACAACCCTGATCCTGGCTGACTCGTGACCATGACAGTATGAAGAATTCTGGAAAGCACCATACAAAGCTCCCGTGCTTTGGATCGCGCTTCTTTTTGGTGTCATTAGTGTATCAGTCCATTTCTGCATAAAAATGAACGCAGACGGGGCTGTGAATGGTACAATTCCATCGCCCGAGATCCTTCAACAGAAGACAGCGCAATGCCTTTTGCTAGGAAGATATAGAACAGCCAATGCCTACGCACTAGAGGTATTGATCCTATATCTCCAGAGTGGCTTTTTGGGCGACATGAAGACTACCTCCCGACAATGGTTCGACATGGGGATCATACTGAGGTTAGCATTCCGCATGGGCTATCACCGTGACCCCAGCACTTTCCCCGGGACGACCACACCATTTGATAGCGAAATGAGACGTCGAGTGTGGCTACATATCTTCCAGCTGGATGCCCTCTTGAGTTTCCAGCTAGGCCTTCCAAGCATGATACCGGCCGACTGCTGTGACACACATGTTCCCAGGAACTTAAACGACACCGATCTCCAGGTTCGGATGTCGACATTACCTCCATCTCGACCATCCTCGGAATACACCCCTTTTCTCTATTTTATTTCCAAGGCTAGCGTAATGAGCATCTTCAAAAAGATCGTTGCACATACAATTTCCCTCGCAACCCCATCTTACAGCAGGACCACTACTTTGGATGCCGAGATGCGAGGTGCTTACAGTCTGGTTCCTGACTTCCTAAAACGGAGAGACACGAACCAATCCCTCATGGATTCATCTGAGATAATCTTAAACCGATGCAACATCGAACTCCTATACCTGAAAGGACTCGTCGTTCTACACCGACGGTATATCCGCTACGAACACCAAGATGCCAAATTCGAGACTTCACGACGTTTCTGTGTGGAAGCAGCTCTCGAAATCCTCGCCCGCCAGGTAGACTTGCACCAAGCATTCCAACCAGGTGGCCGTCTACACGAAGACCAGTGGATGCTTTCCTCACTGACAATTCACGATTTCCTCCTAGCTGCAATGGTCATATGTCTGGATATATCTGTGCGTCTCGAATCTCATACGACAGCTTTTGTAGACGAGCGTGCAGACCACGGCTTTGTTTCGAGAGAAATTTCCGCGCTGAAAACTTCCCAACGCATTTGGGCTGCTAATAGCCATCGTTCGCCGGAATCTCGCATTGCGTCGCTGGCACTGGACTTGATGGCCCAGAAGGTGGCGGAGCGTCAGGCTACTTTCTCGTGTGATCAGGCTGCGTTTATGGAAATTCCTCGAGTGAGTCCGGAATTGCCGTACATGGAGCCAATGTCGGAAATGATTGATGGGTCTGAGACACTGGATTGGGTAAGTCTTTTCATGGAAATTGAATTGATTATGAATGATATCTAACCATCTACCTCTTTTTCAGCTCTTGTTAGACCAATATTTCCAGAACTCTGGTCTCGAGGTGCCTCAGTTAGACCCAGAAAATGATATGGGTGGGTTATTTACGGATGTTCCTGGTGCATTTGACCCATTTGCGTATAATTAGGGACAGCATCGAAGTAGCTGCCTTAGAGATAGGAAAGCAAAGCTGTTTTGACTACTTGTGAGTTGCGCGAATATTAAATTCATTGCATATTTGGTTCCAGACTGTGCTCCGTAAAATCCAATAACACTTTTGTACATTACACTGAGGGTAGCTGCCTGCCTCCATGTATGCAATGGAATATCTCGTCAACTCGTTAGAAAAATATCAGTGGCATCATCGTGACAGTGACGTGTAGATGTACATTAGAAGGGCCGGAAACAATAGATGCATCGTAGAGTATTCATAAGTTCATATCCGAATTTCTGCGCCAAATACATAGCGCACCTAGACGGAAACCCAGCCCGACGACTAATAGGTGTAAAAATACGGCAAGAACCTGGGTTTGAGTGCTGCGGGCTCTTAGAGTAAATGCTGCAGAGAGTAGAAGAGGGTAGAGGATCCAAGGGTTGACGGCCAGCGGTGAGCATGGATGAAGAAGAGATGTGATCTTGACGAGGAAGAGACTGAGCTGTAGGACAGACGAGGATGGGAATGGGTTCAAAGATGCGAGAGAATTAAGTATGGGGAAGCGGCTCGGTGGGGGTGGGAGAAGATGATTTTGAGGGATTGATTGAGGCTGAGGCTGCGGGTCGACGGGCGATGATGATTCATGAGGAGGTTGGGCTGGAGATGACGGCACGGAATTCGAGTAGCGACGCCGGACGATCAATTCCTGATCTGGGCTAACAGAAGGGCCCTCTGGACTTGTTTCAGACACAGGTGCCGTATCGCCTCGAAAATGACTGGAGTCAGGTATCGAGTCACGTCGGAAAGATGCTGGGTTTCGGCGCAGATTTTTGGTGGGAGAGAATGCTCGCTCTACTGATGGTTGCTGGCTATCCAATGGGCGGATTCGAGCCCCAGGAAGGTCAGAGCTTCCCGAGCTTGCTTTCCTGAAGCGGAAGTTTTCATTTGAATTGGCACCGACTTGGATGCCGTTTAACACCTCGTCAGCCGACGGCCGCCGGCCGGGATCAACCGAGAGCAGGCGCTCTAGGAACTTATAGAGCTTTTCGGGGAGATCGGAGCGGATAGCTCGTGCGTGATCGAATCCAGCCCAGCTGGTGATCTCTGCACGGAGCTGGTCCAAGTCTTCTTTTTCTTCATTTATGATGTCCGCATTCGTGTATGGAAGTGCTGCGAAACATAGAAAGTAGAGGATCATTCCGAGTGAGAAAATATCGGACTTGAACGTAAAATTGCCGAACGGTCCGTCGGTATATTCCTGGCGAAGAACTTCGGGTGCGCAATATGAAAGAGTACCTGTTGCACCAGTCGACTTGCGCATTGCATTTTGAGATTGCACCTCACCGAAATCACTGACCAAAACTCTGATACCATCACTTGTCTCGTGGAGCAGGCAGTTGTGTGGCTTCAGGTCACGATGGATATATCCATTGGCGTGAAGATACCGAAGTCCAGAGGTGATATCACGGAAGAAAGAATAAATCTGATCCAACTGCAGCGTGCGAGCTCCTCCAAGTTTGGTTCGAGGCTCTGGTTCGCCCTTAGATTTGCGGCGGAGGCGGTCCTTCAACTGCTGCGCAGTGGTCGAGGTTTGAACAGAGCCACAGATGTAATCATGTAAATCACCGGCATTGCAGTATTGCTGTAGAATAAATGCGCAAGGCACACTCGGGCCGAAGGTGCTTATCTTCGCATTTTCCAGCCAGACATGACGGTAGGAGACAAGATTTTGGTGCGAGAGATGCTGTAACAGCTGCACTTCGCCCAGAACCTTTTCCAGCCACTCATGATCATCGCCAACGGGGACACGCTTGCATGCATAATGACCAAGGGACACACTATCCAGGACATGTTTCACTAGTAGCACCACCCCTTTTCCACCTTTTCCCAACACTCGTTCCTCCACAAAGAACCTCTTGAAGTAATCTGGGCTGAATGCTGCAGAGGAAATTCCCTGCGGCGATGGCTGTGGGGATGAGGTAGGCTGGACGGGCCTGTTATTGGTAGGCCCCCGAGGTAGGGCGGGCTGAACAAGGCGGTGGCTTGGAGAAGGAGGTCTTGAGGATGTTGCGGAGCTGGGGAGGCTATTGTTGAGCATGCGAAAGTAGTTTGGGTTAATAAATTCGCCTCCGGGTTCAGTATCCCCACAATGTCGTTCTCTATTATTATCGCGCATTGAGCGATGGCAGAATGGGCAGTTGGCTAGCTCCATATTGTCAATGTCTTCATCTGACGTATTGCGGAGAACGAGCTGCTGAGAATCACGGTCAAAGACTACCACCGAGTCATTGTGTCGCCTGTTCCGATTAGATCACTAATAGCATAGATTTGAAGGTCACTTACAAAACAACATCGGAGTTGCCCCCATTATAAGGGACCATAGACATGTCGACGGGCATTCTAGCATCGATGTGAGGGAACGGGGATACAAGCTGCCATCGATGACGATGTAGACCTGGGGGCGGTGGGCGGTGAGAACACGGCGGTGGATAGTGTCACTTTGGTCAATATTACTCTTAACCTTCCTTATATTCCTTGTCTGTTCTCTTTTATGGACAATAAGATGAAATTGGAGTCTATTTATACCTTATCCCAGGAAAACTCGAAGTTGCGGTCAAATCGAGACCCAATTCGGGTATTCTCACAAAAGCTGAAACAGCGACACTAGGCTGATCTATGAGTGCCCAGGTGGGGTACAGCTTACACAACGCTACACAACGCACACAGCCCTTTCAATATAGCCTGATAATCACCTCAAATACGTGGACAGAACCCCAATTCCAGCCTGATTTGAATCCCAATGGACCCGATTTCTATCACTGGTCTCGTATTAGAGGTTAGCCATGTGCTATCGAGCCTGATCAGATATGCCAAAACGGTGCAGACGGCAAAGTCCGAAGTGCGAAAACTCAGCGAAGAGCTCTTTGCACTAAAAGGGATATTGGAGCATCTGGCAGCACAGATAAATGATCCCCCCAAATGGGAGGAATCAGAAACAAGTCCATTTGACCGCGATGTCATGGCGAGAGTGTTGCATACAACAAATGAGTTCCTCCAATCCTTACTAATGGACTTGGAAACGGCCGAGACCAAGTTTAAACGCCTCAAGCAAGCTCTGAAATGGCCTTTTACTCAGACGGAAGTCAGCGAGCATCTGATCCGTCTGGAAAGAGTCAAATCGTGGTTGATACTGGTTCTCATTGCAGATCATAAATCGGTGGATCGGGAGATGCAGTATGAGATTCGTGATCTGGCAAACACATTAAAGGAAGACTTGCGGATTAGAGCTCAAGAGCGGAATCAATTTGCTAACCGGGAGCTTCTGCGATGGATAGCTCCTGTGAATCCCGAAAGCTCTCATCTGCGGGCGTCGAAAAGAAGTAGAAATGGGACTGGTAGATGGTTTGTCGATGGCCATTTGAAGACGTTCCTCGATCAAGACGAAAATCGGGTTTTCTTCCTCTTCGGAAAATGTATGTACCCATTGCAATTTAGAGGACTTCCAACTGACATAGTTATGAAGCCGGAACTGGAAAAACTACGCTGTTGTAAGTGCCGTTGACAATCGGGTTACTTCTTATATCTGACGTTCGATAGTGCGCAAGTTGCCGATGAACTCACTTCCATGATTTCTCAAGGCCAATCTATGTGCCTTGCATATTTTTATTGCACAATTAGCGATTTTGTCTCCCAGAATGCAAGAAATGTTCTAGGATCCCTTGTGGCCCAACTCTCGGGGACAATTCCTTCAATATTGGATGATATTCGATCTGTATACAACAAAGGTCCAAAGAATCAGGCGCACAGGTTCCCCATCGAATTATCTGTTCTCGAAGCTGCCATCCTCAAATCTGCTTCCGAAAAGACAAAGGTTGTCCTTCTGGTTGATGCAATCAACGAAAGTCATGATATGCAGCTCCTTGAAGCATCTCTTCTCAGGCTTGCCAGTCTGTCTACCAACATCCGCGTGCTTATAACCACAACCAGCTCTATGGGATCCACCAAGCACCCCAATGCATCTGTCTTGAACATAAGCGGAAAGTCGAGAGGGGACATTGGCACATTTATCAAATACCGACTTGAGACCGATGATACACTGAGAACTTTGGCACCGGAATTCCAGGAGGATATTGAATTTACTCTTCTTCAAAATGCAGATGGATCGTCAGTATAGTATCGATCTTACTATACATTCTGTGATCTAATTATTTCTTCGCAGATTCCGCTGGGTTCAGCTATCATTGAACAACCTGAGCACACAGCGATCTGTAAGGGCAATGCGGCAGGCCTTGAAAACCCTTCCCGGGACTTTACGCGAGACATATGCAAATATGCTGGAAAGAATTGCCCCTGACGATTGGAAAATTGCTCATGAGGCTCTCTTTTGGCTCAGTTTCACCAAGCAGCCTCTTACTTTAAGAAGACTTAACGAGATAGTGGTCACGGATGAGACAAGCACAACACTCGATGAGGATATGATGCTCGTCCCTGCCCATATTCTTCTCCAAATTTGCCAAGGACTCATCACCGAGGACCAAAATGGCTACCTAAATCTCGCACATGCGTCTATCAAGGATTTCCTAACGTCTGATTGGATCCGCTCATCTCGAGTTCAATATTTTGCTCTGGACCCTACCACCGCAGACCTGAAAGCCATGCACAGTTGTCTCACGTACCTGTGTCTCGACAATTTTGCACAGGGATACCTAACATGTCCCAAAGACCCACTTAAAGTACGAGAAAAGCATCCTTTCCTCAATTACGCCGCAAACTTCTGGCCCCAGCATGGTGCAGCTTGCAGCTTTGGGGGTCCTAATGAGGACATGATCCATAAATTCTTCGGCACAAGATCTCTTCCCGGCCGGGGTAATTACGGCACATGGATACAGACGTTGTTACAGACAACCGCTGGTTCAAACACGAAGGATGCTGCAGCCATTGACGGAACACATCCTCTATACTACGCCGCCTCGTTTGGTATGGTTCCAGTCGTCGAGTCTATTCTTGCTTCCGAGCCAGACATTGATATCAATGCTCCTGGCGGCCGTATTGGAGCTACATCAGTGTGGATTGCTAGTCTTCGATTCAACTTTGAGGTTGTGGATATCCTCCTGCGTGCTGGAGCTGATCCATCCATCCGGGATCCTGGCAGTGGGCTTAATGTGCTTGATCTTTTGAGGATGGTACCGAATCGTCATCGAAACTACAATGGTCTTCGACCCATTCTAGATCGTCCAGCACCTTGGAAGGATCAGTTGAAACAATAAGGAAGAAAGCAGTGCAATTTTGTTACAAATTGCCTAGTGAAGGTGGATTTTACCAAGCATGTCGCTATTTTCTGCCAGGCTTCTCTCCCCGGATTCAACCCGTGGTTGAAGAGTGGGACCACAAACTTGGAACCAAACTCATCTGAACGCCTACCTGTCCACGGGTGGCTCAGCCGCAGGTGGAAGGTTGGATTATAGAGCAACATGTACTCCTTACGAACATACCAATTACAACTACTCTGAACAAGAAAGGATTGAAGTAAGAATTATTTTCATTCATTTTGATTCCTCGTCGAATCGGGTATCTGAGTTGGAGCTAGTGACTAAAAAACACCAAAACTCCTAGGGTTGTACAAATTAAGTACTGGGATGCTCACGATTGATCACGCGGCTTTTGGATGACAGGCGCTCTTCGGGCCTAGGCGACATGTCGCAAGGCAGCCTTCGGACTTTCTGTGCGATAGAAGCACGCGCCGAATGCCTTTTGGAGAGCCATGTCCGCATCGAGCGGACATGGCGAGGAATGACTCGGCTAGAAGCTCTGGTGTTTCAAGAGCTAGCATAACCGATCTCATGGCGGCAGACTGTCTGTTTTTCGTAGGGCAGAATGGGGATGACACTCGAGTGCCGTAGAGAACACCGGTGGATCAATCACTCCTCCTCGCCACTCTCCACATCGCTGACCTCCAAGTTGGCGATTGAGTCAGCATCGCTGTCCTCGGCGTCGTCCTGTGCGGACTCAGCCTCAGCCTCAGCCTCAGCATCCTTGGCAGCAGGCTCGTTGTTTTCATCCAACTTGCGCTTGCGAGGCATCTCGCCGAGGCGACCTTCACGGCCCTCGACACCGTCAGCAGGCTCCTCGTCCTTCTCGCTCTTATCGCCCTTTCCGGTACCCTTGGGAGGAGGTGTGTACCAAGGGATCTTTCCACGAAGGAAATCGTTGATGACCATCTTGGCGACACCATCCAGATCGGCCTCGCCTCCCTTGAGGAGACGACCACCCTGGCGGGCAAGAAGCGCGAGCCAGTCGAGGTAGTTCTCCTGGTGCTTGATGCCGTAGGTGCGCTCAAGGTGACGGGGCAGGACACGGCGGAGAACAGCAGGAATGTATTGCTCTGGGTTGTGAACGTTCTCCACTCGGCAGACTCCACGTAGAAGGATGTCCTCCTCAGTGTCGTTGGCGTTGGGGGGGACCACACCAGGACAATCGATGAGATAGATTCTCTTCATCAGGGTAATGTACTGCCACACCTTGGTCTCGCCCGGAATGGGAGCGACTGTGCACACCTTCTTGTTACGGAGAGTGTTGATGATGGAAGACTTGCCCGAGTTGGGGTAGCCGATCAAGCCAACGGACACCTGCTTGCGGTCGGAGTGAAGGGACGAGAACTGGCGAAGCAGCGAGATCAAAGAACCCTTACCGAAAGAGTTGTTGATGTTGGCGTGGAAAGCAAGACAGGGGTAATCCTTAGAAAGATGACGAACCCAAGCGGCCTAGTCAAAGATGCAAAATTAGCAATCAGTCACTAGCAATGAATGAAACATTGTGTAAAGGTAGAATGTGTGGGATGTTACTAAGAAGACTGCCACAATGCCACCAAAAAAAGGCAGAGGCAGACTTCTACTCAAAAACAAAACACAGCTGGCCCTTTGCGACAGGCCTTCAAGACGAAAGCAAGTCAACCTAGGTTCATAACGAAATTCGGTGCGGGCCAGTGTTAATATACCAAAGCTGTAACAGACGGAATTCCATTGAAACAAGCACAACCGAAGTCATGCACGACCGAAGTCGCAGGAAGAGGCCTTGACTTAGCGATGGAACAGGGGGAAAACAGAAAAACGCACAACAACAAAAATAGCAAGAACCGAGTGATAAAAATGAAGAGCAGAGGGGAGATAGTGAAACTTACAGCAACGCCAGTAGGGACGAGATCGCACTTGTTCAGAACGAAGATCAGATGCTTGTGCGGTGCCTCCTCGCGAATATATTTCTCAACACTTCTGCAACGAGTACCTTCGGGGTCACGGGAATCCAAGACGTGGATGATAACATCAGAGGAATCGATAACCTTGTAAAGTTCGTTCCAGATACGCTTACTCTGTCCCTTAGAGAAGACAGATTCACGAGAGGTAGTGAGTAGACCAAGGTCTTCGGCTGCGGCAGTGTCATCGCCACGAACAATCGCACTTCCGTCGGCATGAGTTCCCTCATCGTTCTTCTCGATGTAGCTGTCTTGCATCCTGGCCGTCTCGCCAGCGAGGTCTTCAAGAGACGATACACCAAGCTTGACACGCTTGCGCTGAGCCTTGGGGCCGAAGGTATCATTGAAAGGAGAAGTTTCAATAGCCATCTTAGCCTGGTGTTGCTTCAGGCCGTTGACTTTATCATTGTCCCGAATCAAGCTCATGGGGAGCTTGTTGGTCTTGAGAAGAACTTGGTACGGATCGGCAGCACGCTCAGCAACAGCATCACGGAACGAGGTCAAAGCCTCTTGTGAGATGACACGGGAGTTAGCAAACCATTTACGGTTTGGCTCGATGCGGGCTGTGGGCAACTCTTTGGACTGATAGCTCGCAGCGACTGTGATATCACCCTGAGCGTTGCGGCGCGGCGTACCATCCTTGAACATGTTCAAGGTCTTGATCTTCTTGGCATCACTGAGAGGCAAGTCAGTATTGGTTATTTGAGAATAATAGCGATTTTAGCTGAGGCTGCACATACCGGTAAAAATTTTCACCTTTGGTCTTGACATTGGCCATGCCATCGTTGGGCTTCCCCTGCCGCACCTTACGAGCGGCCTCCTTCTTTCCTGTACCCATGATAGCGGTTGTGGGTTAAAATGTGAAAGGAGAAGTAAGTGCCTGACGAAAAAAAAATCGAAGGCAAGACCAAACACAGAGAGTGGCAGAGTGCAAAGAAGAGAAGAAGAAAAATAAAAGGCGGCGAAGGAATTATTTTTTTTTGGCGCCAAGACATTGCCGTGCACGGACCAAGGGAAAATCGCTTCTTGTTTCTTCCGACTTACTCGACCGCGTATCCTCCCTATTATACGGTAATCAACCTCAGGTTACATCCCGGCTCAATTGAAGGTCGTGTCATTGACCTTTGATTTGATTATTTACTTTGCAACAATCCCCTGCCAGTTTTATCACTCCCCGGAGTGACAGGGTTGAATTGCGCCGCATGTCTGTCCTCCGCAATAGCCGGACTGCCACTGTGCAGGTCCGTGGATTTGCTTCCTCCTCCAACCTTCGAGTTGGACCCGAATCGCCTCACTTCATCGATGTGCCGAGAATTATCCAGCCCACCAACCCCCGCAAACCTCACGTCAGGGGTACTCTCCCCGTGCCTCGCGAGCTCTTCCCGGCCCGCCGAGCGGACAAGCCCCGGATAGAATATCTCAATGCAGTCACACAACTCCCCAAGTCAGAACGGGTAGTGAGCCCAAATAGCAGCAACCCCGAGAAGCAGGAATGGAAGCACAAGATGGCGGATCTGCGGAGACAGAACCTGCGGGACGGTCTGCGAGACCTGTACTCGCGGAAACGGTCCGCGGATTCAAAGATTGTCAGCCGCAGTCTTGAGAGTCAGAATCGGCGGGACCGCATTCTTCAGCAACCTCAGCGTGAGGATGAGCGCCTCACCCGGCCATCGACCATCGAGGCGATGATGCCCAACAAACAGCCAGTCTTGCCCGACCCCAACCGCGAGGAACGCCTTGCGCTCTCTCGGGCACGTCTGGAAGCCAAGCAGGCACAGAAAGAGATTGAGCGGAAGGAGCACCTCCAGTCGTTGTATGTGAATGCTCGCACTTTCATCACAACTGAGGAGCAGCTCACTGCTGAAATCGACCGGGTATTCCCCGAGGGCGAGAACCCAGCGTGGCGCAACGACCACCAGCCCGGCGAGAACATCTGGAACCTGGGTAACCCCCCAACTGTGTTCAACCTTGCCAACAAGACCCGCGCCAACGAGGCTGTTCGCTGGGATGTCTCTCAGGAGCGTGTTAAGAAGCTTGGCGAGGCACTTACTGGAGGTAAGCTGCGAGAGTAGTCGGTTTTTTTTGGGGGGGCATCATGTACAATATCTATCAAGCTATAGCATTTCAAAACTCAAATCAAGAGATCCTTTGAGATCCTTTGAGATCCTTCTATTTTCTTAAGTCCATTTCCCACTACGATTCAATGCCAATACAAGCAATGTTCCTCTAAGAGTGAATGCAACTGAATGGGAGACTATGCCAAAACAAGAAGCAGTCTCAGCTATCTAGCCACTATGAAACCTCGTAGCCCACTGCGCCGTATCCAAACTCTTGACTCCGTCACCAACATATCCTCAAACTTAAGCACCCACCATCCGAACAAAAGAGGGAATTCCTATACGCATTGTAGACATTTTCTGCTCTTGGTCGGTTTAAGTCCTGGCAAGATGGGTACCACATGCAAAATTTATATAGCGTCTCGATATCGCAGCTCAAAGGGAGCTTTGGTGTGGCAGTGTTGAGCCTAGCTTCAGGTTAGGTGTTACCTGGGCAGTCTGCTACAGGGAAAGTACAAAGGACCATGACTGGCAATCACATTCTGTATACCGTTCCAGAATATAGGATAGCCCAATCCAATAATGTCTACAGCATCACGTCGCCGATGTTCTTCATCAAATACACAATCTTCCAGATCCCCATCGCGGTTATAATTGGCAAGGTCTGCCTCAATTCTTTCTCTCGGGTATTGTGCTTCCCTGAGGGGCCATCCTCCTTGTAAGTTCCACCATCAGTCGAGCCACCAGGACCTCTTCACTAACAATATCTATCTTACTCCTTCAGCTTCGTTTTAGATCGCAAGAGCATGGCTGGATTATTCCCCGGCAATTTCTCCCTCTCCAATATCTGGTATCCGCGCCACAAGCTGCAAAAGCAGAACACTAGCTTTACCAAATTGAATGCATTGCCTCGTACATTGGCAGCTTATTGGCCTACGGGTTGATGCAAATGGACGGGCAAACCAGGATCAACGGTTGGTGAGGGATCTTTATTGGGAGATCATACTTATCCCAAAGGTTTCACTCTTGAGAAAAGTCATGCTGACCAGTGCAATACAGCTCGAAAGCATCCTGACCTGTTTTTTCGGACACTGGCTCCTACATTTTCCCAGTCGACCTCCTGGAGAAAGTCCTCCAATCCCAGAAATTCCTCACCGAAACCGAAGTCTCCTTTGTCATTGCCAAAGTCAAACGTGGCAGAGCAGTTGCTACCACGAGGCCTTTCTCGGTGTCCTGCAAACTTCAAAGACAATCTGAACCTGCGCTATCCTATTGGTGTTGACCACGACCACCACCTACTCAACTGGATACTTCCTGCCAAAGATCCTGGGAAAGAGTATATCGGCTTTTCCGTGGCCAAGGTGCAGTGTCCCGTTGCACAATCGTGAGCAGCTGCTATAGTTATCATGTTTATCTAGTCAATTTACTCGGATAAATGGCATGTGCATGGTTCTTCTTTTCTTACTGGAATGCTGTGGGTGAGCTTATTGGGCTTAGAAAGTTGGGATATCTTGAGCATCCGGCATCGTAGTACGTTGAGGACTTCTCAATTACTATTGCTTTGTGTCTCGATTATGACTTGACTAGCATGTTTTAGCAGGCTCAAACTGTCTGCGTTGGTATCATGGTAAAGGTAAGAGCCCTGTCTCTCAACCAGTGTGTTTCTTTTCGTGCAACTCTGATATATCCTTGCTCTAGCATCAACGTCCACGGTCAACGGAAGCGAGCCTTTGCATTAACCACACTAGTCAGCAAAGGTAGTATCGAAAATATTGTTGGAATAACCCGAAGTGCACTAAATTACCAACCAGGTCTTCTCTATATCAGGCTATTCAATGCCCTAGTCATCCTGGTTGTTGGTAGTGCTGTATCTAGTAGAAGGAAGAACTTGAAAGCCTTCAAATTGCGTGTTCGACTTAGTGATATATCGGTAATGGGAGCCTTGGTAAAGCAAACATGTAGTTCCGGCCTAAGACCACCACCCTTCATTATAGAACTACCAAAGTATGTATTTACCACGCACTTCACACTACCGTGGAGATGAATTAAAAGCTTCAAAATAAATCCCATCGTATTCCTCTATGCATACACACAGGTCTGAGGTATAGACTATGTCCCTTAGTGCACAAACAGAGCCTAAACCTTAAAAAAAGTGTAGGTTAAAAGGAAGTGCAACCTATCATGAGCAGCTGGCCCAACAGCAGGTGGCCTAGTGGTAACAGGTTGCACCTGTGTATTACGAGGGAAGTGCCGAGGACCTTCCACTACCTGGTCTGTTCTGGTCTGACTCCGGTCGTTCTCGCGTTCATCCCCACTTTTTTTTCACCTCCCTTCCATCTTGCTTCTTTTTATCATCATTAATTTCATCCTCATCATCTCCAAAATTATACTTCGTACTCCTTAGCCAAATGCGGTAGTCGTATACTTCGGAACGGAAAATACATGCCCCAGTCCCATAACGCACGTGATCCAGATAAGCCGATAAGCAATTTTCCCTCCGGCAACCCCCCAAAAAAAGAAACAGAAAGCCCAGAATCACTTCGTGCTGCTGGCAGTGCTACTTTACAAAATTCGTCTTCCTCTTTCCCTTGCCGCCATCTACATACAAATTCCCTCCATACCAACCACCACTCCAACACAACCATGGTGCAAGGATCATTGAAAAAGGCCGCTCCCACCGGCCCAGGCAGGAAGTAAGTGGCACTCACAAGAACAAAACCACAACCACCACAACCACCACAGACGACAGACGACAGACGACGTCACAGTCCCATCTATCCACACAAGAACACTTAAGAAACATCAAGCTAACACAGACCCACTCACCAGGCCCTCCAAGACCACAAGACCGGGTGTCCGCTCCGTCGCGCCCAAGAAAGCCGGCCTGATCAAGCAGAAGAAACTGACCAAGGTACGCACCGATATGCTTCACAGTCTCCGTCTCCTCGATTCAGTCCCGCACCCTGTACCCATGAGACAAGAACAACCCAAGAACAAGAAAAGAAACCACCACTAACACACCGCTCTTAGCAACTCACATCCGGCCTTGTCTCAATGACAGAACGCAGTCTGGCGACAAAGGCAGGCCATCTCGAGCTGTTGGCTGGTGGAAAGAAGGATCGTCTGCAGAAGGAGCGGAATGCGGCTCGCAAGGATGGGACTTTGGCTCGTAAGGATGGAGGATTGAAGTCTGGTCCTAAGAAGGCGACTTGAACTTGCAGTGGGGAATTCAATGTTTTACAAGGATTGAGATGTTTTGGTCTGATTCGATCGTTCTTTGCAATTTCGTCTATACAGAGCTCGTTATATGAGTGCATGAAATCGATACCCTGTTTCTATTGTCTTGGTTTTGGTGGTCTACATGGTAGTATGAGATGAACGAGAGATAAAGTATAGAGATGAGAAGCATTGTATATATATCGATAAGTAGTAATTCTATGTACAAATTTGTTAAAAAACCAACCGAATAGGATAGAACATGCGGGAAAATCATCAAATCATAAGGCAGATCTTGTATGTAAAAAGTCATGATGCATCCAATAGAAACAAAGAAATCTCGAAGAGAAAAAAGAAAAGAAAATAAACGAAACAGAAAAAAACCCAAAAAAAGGCCAAAAAAAAGGGTATCTATAATTCTAACTCCAATGCCATTACCATCCAAACCTTATGCGCAGATCAAATCTGCCATCCCGGTCTCAGAACTTCGAGATGCGGCTCGGAACACCAGCCTGTTCAATCAGGTCCTGGCCACGCTCCATCCAACTATTGAAGCCGCCATCACTGGAGTCCGAAGGGAAATCATCCCAAACGGCATTCTCCGAGTCCGCATATGTCGACCAGATGCCCTTGGGGACATCAGCCGCCGACCAGGAGGGCAGCTTCGCCATCACGCAGGTGTAGTAGACGTAGAGGATGCGGCAGAGGAGCTCGACGCGGTCGACGTAGTGCTGCTGCGTGGGATCGGGGGTTTGGCCACCGTCGCCGAGCCGCTTCCACCAGCTCACACGCCATCGCAGGGTTAGCAGGATGTGGCCGAGTTCGCCGAGGAAGCGGACGTGCGTCTCGTGGGAGATCTGCTTCCACTTGATGTTGTAGAAGTCGCGCTCGAGCTTGCGGAAGCCTTCGACTTCGAGCATGCGGCAGAAGATTCGGGAGAGTTGAGCTGCGAGGAGGATCTCGCGTTGGTCTTCTGGGCTGTTGATGTCCATTGTTCGTTCTTCGCCGGCTGAGTCGAGAGGCACGAAGCTGTATTTGGCGCGACTTGGCATGTTGTTCCACTGGGAGAGGAGGGTCTGAGGTTGGTTAGTTTTTGTGCTCTTGGCATGTGGTACAGTGAATTCTTACATAGGCTTGGTTCATTGGGTCGCAGTCGGCAACGCAGGACAGCCAGTTTTTGGACTTGTCCTTCGAGTCCACAATTCGTCGGTCGATGAACTCGATGAAAGTGGACTTCGAGTTGCCGTTGTACTCGCTCAGATTCTTCAGGAACTTGTAGGTCTCCCCCAGGTCAAGGACGTAGAGAGAGCCCCAGGCCTGGCTAGCGCGGATGTTGAACCGCCCCTGGCGCTCGGCGAGCAAAGACAAGAGTTGACTAAGGTCAAATTCAGATGGAATCGCCATCCGGACTCGGTTGGAACCATCCATCGTAGGGTGGTTGACAGCTCGTTGAGCTAGATAGGGTCAGTCAATTTGAACAATCCTTGGGGAGGTTTGTTGGATGCTTACAGATGTAGTTGCAGGTTCCAAACTCGACAATGCTGGAGAAGCATGCACGAGCGCATGGTTGCTCGTGAAGTGTGGGGCGACAAGCATCGCAAGGGGCGCTTCCGTCACACTGCGAACGCGTTAGCTCTATGAAAGTACGGAATTTAGGTGGAAATCCTTACCTTGCGCTTGTTCAGTCGACACTGAACACAAGTGTCCTTGTTTTTGCGGCGCAGGCCTGCATTCGCTCGTCCAACCATACTCAGTGGGCCCTTACGACGGGCGCCACGTGGGGGCGAGACAAAGTCCGCAGACGCAATGGAGCCGCCTTGGCCATCCTCCTGGACAATTTGCAAGGGCCTTGTGATTCCCTGATCCATTGAAGCGGGGTTTCTGGCCTTGCGTTTCTTGACTGTAGCCGAGGTCTGCATGGCAAGTGGTGCCGGTCGACCGGCACGCTGGCCAGCGGTCGACGAGGCCCTCGATCTTGCAGGAATAGTGGAAACTAGAGACTCCACAGGGGTCTCACTCACCATGAAGGCAGTGGTCTTGAATGCAGGCTGCGATCCCTCAGGTGAACTGGACTCATGCGGTGAGGTCTTCCACTGGACATCGTCGTCTTCCAACTGACGGTCCGCAAATGCAGGGGCCTCGTCGCTAGTGGCGGAGTAGGAGCACTCGTATATTCCCGATAAATCGCCTGACACGGAAGAGTTTTCGGATTTGAATTGGAACTCCTGCCCGATTGGTGCGTTTAGCGGGCCAGCAGTTTGAGAGACCGGCGTGATCTGCTGAGTGGGCAGTTGAGATTCCAGACTATTCAGCCATCGCGATTCCAGCGATCTGATAGAAGTCGGGAACCCCCGCAGGGAATGATCCTTGGGGTTCTCCTGTGCGTCCACTGAGAGTGCCATAGAATCTTGCGGTGGGGGCATATTGTCCACGGGAATGCCATGTTGAATTTCAGTCCACTCCTCGGGGATCATGGGAAAGGACTGCGGAATCTGCTGGAACGACATGAGGCCTTCTACGGGGACATCGGAGAAACCGGCGTGAGGCATCTCTCCAACATCATCGACAATGACGGCCCCATTCGAGTGGTTCGGTCCTTTCGCGTAGGGGTAGAGTAGAGATGCATCCATCGGCATGGCCACTGAGTTGTACAGTTGAAAGTGTGGCCAAGCCTCGTCCGAATGGTAATTTTCGTCAGCGGAAGATGGGATGGTCTTGGGGCTCAGAGTGCCACTGGCAGTGCCCTCGACGAGGCCATCGGAGTAGTTCAAGTTCTCGGGTGCTACATCGTGCTTTCTATAACCAAACAAGTGTCAGTCACATCGAGATCGGATTTCGCGGGTTCACATCGGGAAAGGGTTTCCGGACCTGTTCTCCAGACGGCGGAATTCTCCAGCCAATGGGCCATGGAAGGTACCTAAGTCGGCGATATCCGCATCGCACTGACTCGATTCCTGACTGGTGTCCCACTCGGGTGGTTGGTCATACCCCAGATGTTCCCATGAGGCGACAGAAAAGGCGCCCTCAGTTTGCCAGTTGTCCAAGATTTTGGGGTCGATCCCCGCAGCGGTCCCAGTACTTCCACCGTCCATACAGGATGAGAGGGTGAGGTTGCGGCGACGACCTCGTTGAGCAAAGATCCCAAAAAGACTTGGCTTTTTGAGACTTTGCGGGTTCAGGTGGGTGGCAGAATGGGGTTATATAGATAAGCGGCGAAGATGTGTCGACGTGTTCCGAGTATCGAATCGATATAGTTGGCAGTGAATTGAAGAGGAGAGAGTTGAGGGGCCAGAGGATTGTTGAAGGGCTGACGGGATTCCCCACCACAAGATTTTCTGCGATCGTCTTTAGCGTGCTTCCGGCACAGACCACTTTAGTATTTGGCTTTTATTTACAACGAGGTATGATGAAAATAGATTTTTTTTTGTGAGAGTTGGAGTTGAAATCCTTTTAAATTCCAAATAAATTGATATACATATTGAAATTATAAGGGATATATAAGCCCATCCGAACATATGTTTATGTACTTGCGTACGGGCCGACTACCTATCTCCGATAGGATCTCCGGCACGGATGTGGTCTCACTGGTCTTACGAAAGGAGGTCCACGGATGTATCAAAAATGTACGTGGCGGGCCCCTGAGCTATGAATGGTCCAGGAACCTTGGTGATTATTATTTTTTAATGCAGGCGCATTAGGCAGATGAAAATGTAACCCCCTCAGTTCTTCAGATAAAAAAAGATTAAAAAAAATCCCCAAACCCCCAAAACCCCAAAAAACCCAAAATGGAAATTTCCATCCAGACCTTGTTCTACCGTGTAGGTTGCAGCACTGTCTTGGCAGACCCTTAGGTAACTTCCCAGTGATTACCTCATCTTCCCTTTTGGGCTTTAAACTTCTGACTAGAAACCCTAGAAGTATAAGTATAGAACGTATAGGTGCATATGTATATCGGATGGTCTATTGTTATCTTTAAAGAATATATCTCATTGATGATGTCAACCTTGGAACACATGATGTCCATTACTAAATTATGTAGATGGGCCCATATATACAAAGTGGCAAGTTTTGAATGGCATTTATAATGAACTATAAACTATGAACCACGAACTATTAACATCCCGGATGATATATCCTACCCTTTAACTACTCTAGCTTTGTACAGTTGCATAACATATCATTGGAATCCCCAGAGTCATCAACATATCGAATGATAGAAACCCAATAGTCAGCATCCCCGAAAGAACCCCGAATCGGTTCACCGCACGCTGCATTCGGTCCTACCATTACCGTCCCCGCAGCCTGAACGGCTTCACCCCGGTGTGTAATTCGGTGTGGCCAATGGCTCATTCTTTACCCTGATTCCCCCAGGTATAAGTGTGCTGCACCCCGAGTATTTCCGGGGTGCAGAAATATTTCTTTCTTTTCTTGTTCTCTTATAAAAAAACATAGAAAAGAACCTCCGAAAAGAATCACCGTCCAAACCGCCACTGGGGAAACCAAAATCAAGATCCAAATCGAAACTCCGAATATTCACTCATAACGCCCTTGGCGCTGCTTAATCCCGTCATGCACATCCTGGTAAGTGAGATCACCGGCAATATTTCCTTTCTTTTTTCTTTTTCTTTTTCTTTTTCCCCTCCCGCAAAATGTACGGAGTACGGAGTACGGAGTATAGAAAAGCCATTTCCTGCAAGGATCTGCTTATAGATCCATACTTCCTCGGGGAAACATCACCACATGATACTCCACACCCTCGTTATCGCAATTTTATCGCCTTTTTATCGCATTTCCTTACGCCCGAGCAATACGTTGCACAAACGTAGATAAAGCCCAAAAAAGAAAGAAAAAAAAGCCAAGACCAATAAACTAACAATTCCCAAAAATAGGTCGTCAACGACGATGGTCCCCCAAACACCAAACTTTCACCCTACCTCCGCCCTCTAGTCGAAGCTCTCAAGGCAACCGGCCACCAAGTCTCCGTAGCAATCCCCGCAGCCTCACGCTCCTGGATCGGAAAAGCCCACCTAATCGAAGCCTCCCTAACAGCCAGCTACGTACACCCAGACGCCTTCAACGCAGACGGCAGCTGGGACGAGACCTTCGAATCACCAGACCCTGAGAATGACTGGGTGGTGGTTCGCAACGGTACACCGGCCAGTTGCACGCAACTGGGGTTGTACAACCTATTCACCGAGCGCGCGCCCATTGACCTCGTCATCTCGGGCCCGAACCACGGCCGCAATGCTTCCACCATCTACAACCTGTCCTCGGGGACGGTAGGCGGTGCGCTGGAAGCGGTGTTCTGTAGCAAGCGCGGTATTGCTATCTCGTTTGGTAGTAAGGACCCGCAGCCTGATGAGATTATTGCTGCGGCGGCCAGACTCGCTGTTAGGGTTGTCCGACATCTTTATGAGAATTGGGATGAGAGGGTCGAGCTTTATAATATCAATGTTCCGATGGTTCTTGATGTTGAGAAGAGGCCTGTGCTTTATACGCGCACGTTGCCGTATTATTGGTCCAGAGGGTGTTTGTATGCCGAGGAGGGGACGGGGAAGAAGGTTAATGGTGTGAACGGTGTGAACGGCGTGAACGGTGTTCATGTCAATGGCGAAACGAATGGCACGGCTGTTAATGGACATGTTCCTGCGTCTTCCAGACAGCGTCAGTTTAAGTGGTCTGCTGATTTGTCCGATATGAAGAAGACGTTGCAGGAGAGTGAGGTTGGCACGGATGCTCATACCGTGCTCAATGGGTCAACTAGGTAAGAGACGAGGTTCTTTTTTGCCCTGCGCTGCTGAGACCGGATATACTAATGCTGTGATTTAGTGTGACTGCCCTCCGAGCCAACTTCTGGCATGTTCCCGGTCTTGAAGGACCGCTGGACCTTGATGCTTGAATGAGTTCTTGAACAGATTCTGAATGTTTTGGATCCTACGATACCCGCAATGGTTTTCGAAAATGCATAATATGGTGATTTATGGGAAGACCGGTCCGTTTTGTACATATACGGGAATTGCATACACGATTTTCTTTTTTTGTTTACAAGTGACCAGAATAGCCGGCTGCTTATGCGGCCTTGTATGTCTTTTAGGTGTATACAAAGGCATATTTTATGCAAGAACCCTTTCTATGTATAACCTTTGGTTTCAATAATAGTCATTTGCTGTTATTCTCGCTACCAGAAATCTCGGCGTAACCAGAAACAAAATATAGAAATAGAAATAGCTAGTGCGGGTGTATCATAAACGACAGGGAGATGCTGGAATAAGAGCGTCAGCTCTTGAGCTCGGTATAAAAGATCACAGCAGCCCTAGAGCGCACGCGCAGCTTCACCTGCACCACTATCCACAGTAGACGCCTGCTCAGCTCGCATCTTGCCCTTGCCGATACCTCCCTCACCAACGCCCATTCGTCGAGCCACGTATCGCTGCGCGATAATACCAGCGGTTAAAGAGAGGGTCTCCTCGATCCACTCCGAAACCCACTCGCGGGGGTCAACACCTCCACTCTCGATGACCTCAGCAATGGCCTCGGGCACCACAATACGCTGAATATTCGCATCCTCGTCCTCGGGATTCTCGGCGGCTGGCACCGAAGCATCGAGCCATTCAATCCATGCCTGCGGGATACTCTGAGAGATGGCGTGGAAGGCAATGCCATGGATGGGGTCGTGGAGGTACAGTGCGAAGGAGATCTCCTCTTCTTGCGTATCGGCTTCCACAGCTCCCTCGGTAGCCTTCTCGCCAGTCGCACCCGCCTGGAAGAGGTCCTTGGGAGTAGTCTGGCTGATAGCCTGGATAGCCAAGAAGATATCGCTGCTGCGGACTGGGTTCGATTCACTCAGGACCTCCGAAGCGTGTTTCGCGGCCTCCTCGACTCCGCCACGGGACGAGAAGTACTCGGAGGCATAGGACTCGGCACTGGCTCGTGCGAGCTTGGAGCCCTCCACGGCGCCTCGCACGGATGAGATGCTCCGCGGTTGTCCAGGTGTGACCGTCCGCCACCAGGGCCCATCATTCCAGCCGGCACTGGTCATATAGCCATCGAGCCCGCGCTTCGGGGATGACTCCTGGCCCCGCTGGATCACCAACAGGTCTCCGCCCTCGACTTGGGACATCACTCGCGAGAACACCGCATAGACTAGAGGGTCGATACCCGGGTAGCCGGACATATCGTGAGTCACGTGGATTTGTAGACGTTCATGCGAAGAAATGGGAGGAGCGAGTGTGTGGATGAGGTTGGTGAATGTCGGAATTGCCCTGTCTCGAAGCTCGCCGCCTGCGTGTGCTAGTTAGCTGTCTGCATGTAGGAGAGCATATTTTGAGTAGAAAGATCCATACCGAGATCACGAAGAGCTCCAACATTACCCTTGACTTGCTGAGCCCACTTCTGAGCCTCCTCGTTATTCTGAATCTCCTTGACAGCCGCCTCGGCCTGTTTCATAGCTGCGGTGGCCGTCGCGAACAGGCCTCCCGACCATCCACCCCACCAGCCGGCACTCTCATCGGCTGACTGCTGTGCGGGGACATTCTCAGGCTCAGCCTTGGGCTGTTCTGGTTTGGTTTCTGGTTTGGTTTCTACACGTGAAGACCGGCTGGTCTCCTCAGACTGGCGGACCGGCGCCTTGTCCTCGGTCGGTCGGTCGATGGTTGCACTAGGGCGGGGAGATCGTGTGGATGATCTGGGCTTATCGGAAGACAGGCGCGGAGTACCTGGTCCACTGGCTGGACGCTGTGTGGCTAGGTGGTCAAGCTCGGCCAGGATGTCCTCCTGCCCGCCCTTGGCATTGTCGGATACGATAGCTTTAGATGTTTTGTTGCCGGACTTATCAAGACCGAGGTCGTCAAACTGAGCTAGAAGCTCATCACTGGTAGGTTTGGGGGCCTTTGGAGGCATGTTTGTTGGGGGGGAACAATGTTCAGGAGAGGTGACGACACCGTGGGAGCTTCTGAATTTGTGGAGATCATGTGCCAAGACCAACAGCACTGACTGCAGATGCTTGAAAGTCAAATTTAGTTAAACAAATGAAGAGAAAGCTCTTAATTCTTCGATTTGAATATTTTCATTCGATTCTTAGAGAAAATATCAGCCTTGGACATATTGGATGTTCGACCACCTGGGCCTTGCATTTAAATGTGTCACCCCGCACAGTACAGAGGACCCTATACAATGTCAACCATCTTCACCTCTTCACATTTTAATCTGTCCACAGATCCATACCTGGATTTTCAAACAGAATTAAGCCAACGGCGGAAGCAACTCGGAAGTGCAAACCCGACTCCCGCGGCTTCGACTTATCCGCTCCATCTGGACCCACGCGGGGTTGCCGATAAATAGTTACTCATTCCCCGTATAGAGCCCAGTTCCCATTTAGCTCAAAATAAGAATAGTATCTTGCAGCTTTAAATCAGGTACCGAATACCTGCCTCTTGTTCAAAGCAGCTGTCTGCTCCAAAGCACAGCCTATCGACTCACACCTCAACTGACATCAAACCCTAGACCCTAGATTTCACTCAAATCCAGCCATTGAACGAACCAACTTCCAATTAAGCTCACCTACAATATTTGCATACCACCCACCATGCGTCTTCCATACGTTGCAGACCCTCCGGCAACTAGCACACCAGACGAAGCCAGAATCCTAGCCAGCGTCCAAGCCCGCCGAGCCCCAAACCCGCTCCTCCCCCTCGACCTAGCCCTCCTACACTCCTACCCAGTCACAGAAGGCTGGAACTCATTCATTGGCGCAATCCGCACCCGAACCACTCTTACGACCGTTATCCGTGAACTGGCCATCTGCCGCGTCGCAGTGGTCAACGGCGCCCTGTTCGAGTGGGAACAACATGCGCCTCTGCTTGAGGAAGGTGGATTGAGCGCAGAGGCATTGAAGTTTGTTGGGGATGCGCAGGCGGACTTCTCGACTGAGGCTGCGTCGTCGGTGTTGAGTGCTGACCAGAGGGCTGTGTTGAAGTATACCGATGCCATGACTAAGACTGTTACGGTGCCTGATGAGGTTTTTGCGGAGCTGAAGGGGTGCTTTAATGAACGGGAGGTTGTTGAAATTACCGCTACGATTGCGGCTTATAATTGTGTTAGTCGCTTTTTGGTAGCTTTGGATGTTGGCGAGAAGAACCACCTGCACTGAGCTGTAGGTGTTTACAAGCCTTCTGCCAAAGTGGACTGTGTTTAGAAGAGTTATTGGCCCTTTTGTTAATAGGGCATTTTAGCTAGATACTTGAGCGCAATTAGAGGTCCTTATGTCCAATAATAATACTCCTAACGATCTATGACATTTAAAACAGAATATGATACATCCAAGTAACGTGGCGCCAAGCATTCAGTTATATAAAGTACATTATCTTTTCCTTGAGGGTTTCCTTCTCTTCTCTTTGTTTCTTTGTTCTGATGTTCCTGTTCTTCCCCGTGTGGTTCCTTTCTTTTTCAAATGTCGCCCTGGCTCAATCAATTCCTCAGTATTATCTGGACGCCACAGCGTAATGGCGGCAGCAGTCTACTTACTTCTCTGCTCCTATGACTAAGACTTACTTACTTATCGAAAATACGTAATGTGTCACTATAACTAGATTCTGTTCGTATTAATACTACCCGCTAGATGTTATTATTGCTATATTCCCCGAAATCCACTGTATTAGCCATATATTCCAATATTAGGTCGTGCTTAGTGCGTATCTTCCTCGTGATAAAGCGGGGTTAGAGAGATAAAACGGAGGGGAAAAGAAGGGTACTTATAGCTCTTTTTGGTCATGATAAGAAATGTGCCTTTTGCTATATGGGCTGAATATTCGGGTGAGGAATATTCAGGTGGGTGAATATCTGCCCTGAGTGCGCTGGATAGAGCGGCGAGCCGCCCACGCCCGAACCGTGGGCGCTAGGTGACCACAGTCATACTCAAGCTATTGTATGTTTTTTTTGACAGTTCTTTGATATTGCACCATGGCGCACCCTTCACGGAAACCGTGTTTCTGTCGCTGCTCTCGTCAACCTGACCCGCTGGTACAAGTTCCTCGTAGACCTGTGCCCGTGGGCCACATCAGCTTTTGAATCATTGAAGCTGCTTCTCGCGGGAAGAAGCTTGCTAAATCCAAAGAGGGTGCCAGCTATGAGATTTCCCTGGGAGTATGCATTTGAATGAGACCAATTCGGTATTCGTGTTATTCGTGGCTAATCATGCGCAATTTTCAACAATGCTGAGAAAGGCGTCCTTACCAGACTCCCGCCGGAGCCTTCTTACGTTCCCTAGATGCTCTGGGGCTAACACATTTCTTTACTAACTTGGTCTATAGTGGATACCTTCATATTGGACATGCTAAAGCCACTCTTTTGGTTTGTTTTCCCACTATTCGTGGTATTCGCCGTCGTGGTATGACTATTTCCGCGCTTCGCGAATTCATTCTCAAACAGGGTCCTTCTAAAGATGTGAACCTACTTGACTGGGGCTTGATTTGGGCCACTAACAAGAAGTACATCGACCTGGTTGCCCCCCGCCCCCCCCGCTATACAGCCATTGAAATCGAGGACATTGTCAAGGCGATTGCACTGCCATTTTAAATTTGCTAATATCCTAGGTAATCATCTCCATAGCAGCATGTATCACATATATTCCAAATTTCTTATGGAGATAAGTGCCATAAATGAAGCTAGGCCTCTTTCTTGTTCCTATAGGCCAAAAGTTCCTATTTACTATAACCGGGTATGAGGTAGCCTTGGCGTTTTTGTTGGTTCTTTGTCTGTAAGCGCCTGACATCTTTCTCCGCCAAGTTAATACCATAAGTCTAGCCAACTACTTACGTTCCCCACTGAGCAGTCCTTGCACTTTTTGCTACAGTGTAGTATATACGGGCCCCGCTTCTCTCTGCCCAAGACGAGATATAGCAGGTTGGATTTCTATACCAAATTTACAACAAATTGTCTTCCAATGAAAGAACATAGGTACAAGTGACTTACGTATGTAACCCCTTCATCGTTACAAGTCCAGAATATACTCATTTGCAGGCTCAGAGTGACTTGCGCCCATCGTCGACATTCCCATCCTTTGAAATAACGCAGACGATGGCTTTGTCTAAAAGCATATCGCAGATGTTGATAGACTTCCATCCACTCATCGACACGTTACGCACCGCTTACCCCCGCGCAAAAGAACTTGATTGCGACAAGATGCTTGGCTCGAAAAGGGGTGCAACCACGCATGCTACGAGTGTGCATGACCAAGTCAAATGGCCCTGTCCCTTAGCAGAAGAGAAGGGATGCACCACAGAATTTTCTACGAAGAGTGTGGCTGCGCAAAGAGGATTCAGAGTGGCAAGGGTCATTCTAGGTCTATGAAAGGGTCATAGGGATTTCCTTGTCCACACGCAAAGGATTTCAACTGTAATAAAACGTTTGCCTCGAGTTGAAACGCTATCAGGTGTAAGAAAGAGACGTATAAGGGAGAAAAACGGCCGTGTCCCTTGGCAGAAGAGGAAAGGTATGCCTTAGAATTCACAGATCCTAGCAATACCAAACGACACGCAAAACATGCTTACGGTGATGATGTGAAGCCAACTCAGAAAGATATTCCCTATCCACGCGCGAAGGAGGAAAAATGCCCCAAAATGTTCTTGGACATGTCAGCTCATAATTGAGCCTCATTCCGAGCTGTAGTTCCAAGGTGACTTTTCGATTCGGTTGGCTATAGGTACAAATAAATAACAAAGTGCGCTAGACGCGGAAGTTTGAAAACAACCAAATGTGTCTATATATAAATCTTGGTGATGGACGTGTGCAGGCGCTTAGCATCATGCATATCAAATACGATTAACCTTCTGGAATGCGCTTTATTGCTTTATTGGATAGTGTCCAGTCGAATCAACATTGGATTTTTATTTATCGATAAACACTGTTTCTGTGCGACATTGCTTCAATTCTTGTGCAGAATTTATATAGTCCCTGCAGTATGTCGTATGTTTCTAGACAGGTTGTGCTACCTTGTATGTACCTGCCATTATGCTTCTTATTTTTGGCTTTACTACTCTCTTCGCTGGCTTATGACCACTCTCCAGCACTTTCTATCTCATTACTGCTTTTCCGCGGAGCTTCTTTGCGGTCTCACGTTAGCTCTGTCAACATATACTTAAAAAAAAAAAGAAGAAGAAATAGCAATGAACTAGTCCCTAATAGTATGTTCTAGATTATTATCATGTTAGTATAAAGGTAATGACCACAAAATACGCGACTGTGCACTAGAATATTGAATTTTATTCTTGACCCTCGGCATTCACGGGTTGAAGGCACATTCAAAGAAAATTGGGGCGACCCCGGGACCCACTCGTGGTATATTTCCTACCGAGGCTTTTTGGCTGCCGCTTTTACCTTTTTATATCGTTCTTTCTTACTCTTATTTTTTTTTCAGTCAAGCTTTAATATAGTTGGAAGGAAGTTAGATCTAGTAATTTATGGTCAGGCTTCACTCTTAAAAAACAATATGTAACAAATTGAGATAAACTATACTCGGGAAGTATAGGATGGCGCTCTGAAGAGCGTGACAACGTACCATATTCAATCAGCCAACTTATGATCTAGGTAAAAAACGTGAAGGTAAATATGTATGGGATGGATTTTCTATCCGACAAGGCCCCGGGGGTTGTGGTATGTCGTTTAGGCGATGGAGACATGAGCGGTTATTCTTGCTGGTGGCGAGGCGGTTACTACAAGGGATATTCTCTCTCTGTAATATAAGTAGAGATAAAGTAGTAAGAGGTGACAACGTATATTCTAGTCTATATAACCTAATGGGGATAGCCGCTACTTCGTTCCTTGTGACACAAGACATGGAGACTATGCACTAGAGGGGACTAAAGGTAGTCACCCATGGACATACACATGCGATTCGGGTGCTATCTAAATATAATCCAAATATCTAGCATTTGGTTTCCCGTCGCTTGCCCGTGATGAGTATGGAATAGATGTAGTCGAGTCCATGAGACTGTTGACGGAGGATTCCCCAGAAGTAAGCGCATAGCACTTGGTCCCACTGGGTGTCTCCAAAGCTATATTCCAGTCCAGCTGCCTACCTCAATAGTCAGCTATTGGGGAGACTATTGAAGAGACAGACTATTGTTCGACTCCAAAGTACGTATCATGTGACGCATTAAAACAAAGGTGTTTACAAGAGTAGGTGAAAATGCCAAAAATGCTTAAAAAGAAAGACCATGGACCATTGACGATCAATACAATGCAGAGAATCAATAAAATCATCGATGAATTGTGATGAATAGTGATCAATCCAAATCCCTAAACCCCCTTTCCTCAATGTAGTCGAATGTGGCTAGTAGATATGATGTCTCTGATTGGTCGGGCTCGGACGGGGTTTCCACTGCCTATGAAACTACAAAACTATCTCTCTCTCGACCTCAATCTCTTCTCAACCTCATCATCCTGAACCCATTTCACCTTCCGATTTATTTTCTGCTCCTGTACTCATTCTGTTCTGTAATCTCCTTTCATCTACTGTCTTTGTTTTCGTGTCATCTTCTTTGCGCGGTGTCGCGTCGACGAAGATCATTTTTTTCTTCATACTACCCGGGGACGCAAGATCTGCGCGCCAAACACAACTTTGCGACTTACTCTTGCTTTTCACATCTTCTCTATTTCACCTGTCTCCTAAACCTTTTTCCCCTCTCCATATTCTCTCATCCCACTTCGCGTTGTGTCCCAAGTGGACTGTCACCTACCCAGCCTTCCCCCAGTCAGATAAGTAAGTACACATCCCTGGCAGCCACTCATGCCCATCCTGCACCCTTCTTTGCAGCACTCACTAACAGCCAGCAGTCATTGGCTGTGAATCGTGTCTCCTATCCACAAGGATTTTACTCGAATCTGAACATCTCATGGTACGTGTCGCGTCTTTCTACTTTTTTTTCCTTGTATGGCACAGTTGCGCAGTGTACTTCCAAGGTTCCCGGTCAGATCTTGATCCATGCATTTTTTACCCGACCGTGTCTTATGTTCTATGGATTTTCCCATGTTACATATCGCGTTTACCGGGTTTACAATGTCTCGCGATTCTTGTGCTCGCACCGGTCTATTTCTTGTGCCTTGGCCCTTGGAACCGCGGATTTGCACTGCAATTTACTGGCGTCTTGGCACCCGCAAGCGAACCAACGCTGACCATCTATACAGATTCTTTCTTGACATTCTTCATTCTCCATTTGAGATCTCTGATTTTTTTTTACTTCTTTTTTTTCTGTTCATTGAAATACTCATACCCCCTCTTGTTCTTCTTATTTTTTTTCTTTTTCTCCGTCCATTTCCGTCAAAATGGCCCCTATCCCGAGGGCCGATTTGGATGGAGACAATCCTTCTTCGGATATTGGTGACAGCCAGGACTCCCCGCTGCGTCGTCAATTTTCTGAACCCTTTCGTCCCCAATCTACTTCCACCCAAATTTCTCAGTCCCCGGAGCCCATGCCTCGACGGCTCAAGTGTGACTGGTGTGGGAAGCTTTTAATGCTCCCAAATGACGCAGGCGTCTCTGAAGAAGATGTTCTAAATGATCATATCAACGAAGCTCACCCGAAATCCATCAACTTTTCGGGGTATGATGGTGCCGACGATGGCACCGAAGATCTCGCCGAAGATGGCGCTGATGAGACTTACGACGAGAATGGCGATCTCCAAGACGACGACGCCATTGAGCAAGATGAAGCCATAGTTCAAGCTGCCAAGCCAGAAGATAGTGAGGCTCAAGGTGAAGAAGGCGAAGAAATCACAGTGGAACTGACCACTGACGATAACAATGGCACCCTGCAAACCGCAATCCAAGGCAATGTCAGCCACATGCCCGAAACAAAACGTGACCTGCTGGACTGGCTCTCCAACCCACGCACTGGATATCCCGAGGAATATCGTGCCCGCGAGGCCGAGTGGCGACGACCAGATGTAAAAAAGCGCCTTGACCGCTTCTGGAACGTTCATGATGCCAACAAATTCTCCCCCAACTACGACCAGGAAGCTGCCAGGTGTGAATCTACTTGGGACAATGCTTTCCATGACCCTTCGAAGACCAAGAAACGTGATGCTCCTGAGCCAGCCTCTCACCCCCTTCCATACAAGAAGCCCAAAGTCGACAGAGGTCAATTCCTCGAAGTACAGGCTCAGGAACTTGATGAGCTTGTCAATATGCTTCGCAGTCCCGAAAAATACACCCCAGAAGAACTCTACGCACTTACACAGACCGCGGCCTTTGCCTTGAAGTCATTCCAAAATGAATACCTGGCCCTCGATGACCTTTACCTCAAGGCACATCGACATAAACGGGATGAACCCTCGTATCAAACAAAGCGACATCAAATGCAAGGTCACAAGAAAAAGGGCGGAGCCCCACTCGCTCACGTCAATGAGGACAAGCTGGACTTCGAGGACAAGAAGGAGGCAATGCTCTATGGTTACAAACACAATTATTTCTCAACCAACACACCACTTATACCCATCCGCACACAGCAGGATCCATTCGTGCAAGGAGGATTTGTCCCAACTCCCGCGCAAGCCAGAAAGATGATTGCTAAGAACAA